AATTAATTTAAATCTTTTACGTGCCTAAAAAAAACATGTATTATAGAGCAGTGGCGGATCCAGAGCCTGATCTCCGAAGGGGCACTTGTAGATTATTTAAAGAAATAATCTATGCACAATAACCACTACAGCTCTGTGTAGTGGTTATGGTGCCAGGACCCCTTCCCAGAGTGTGTAGTCAAACCGTTTAAGAACAGTTTGACAAGTTACCTGGGGTCTGCTGGGATATAGGGCTGTAGTAGGGCATAGCAGCAGTGGTGAGTGTAAGTGGTGCAATGTGTGAGGGGTGCAATGTGTGGGAGCGTGTAGTGTGTGAATGTGTAGGGTGTGGGGGGCAATGTGTGTATAGGGGCAGTGTGTGAGTGTATGGGGGACAGTGTATTATTATTATTATTATTGCCATTTATATAGCGCCAACAGATTCCGTAGCGCTTTACAATATTTATGGAGGGGCAGTGTGTGTGTGGGGGGCAGTGTTGTGAGTGTGTGTGTGGGGGCAGTGTGTTGTGTGTGTGTGTGTGTGTGTATGGGTGGCAATGTGTGCATGGGGAGGTTGTGTGTGTTTATGTTTCGGGCAGTGTGTGTGGGGGCAGTGTGTGTGTGTGTGTATAGGGGCAGTGTGTGTGTGGGGCAGTGTATGAGAGGGTTTTGTGTGTGTGTGTATGGGGGGCAGTGTATGTGGGCAGTGTATGTGTATGGGGCAGTGCGTGTGTGTGTGTGGGGCGCAGTGTATTTGGGGGCAGTGTATGTGTGTGTGGGGGCAGTGTGTATGTGGGGGGCAGTGTATGTGTGTAAGGGCAGTGTATGTGTGTGTATGGGGGGGGGCAATGTGTGTAGGAGGTGGCAGTGTGTGAATGTGTGGGGTAAGGGGGCTTTTTTCTAAAAAAAAAAAAAGTAAAACAATTTTTTTAATAAAAATCCCTGGTGGTCCGGTGTGGAATCCCTGGTGGTCCCAGTGGTGAGAGTGAACTCTAGCCCTTAGCTCCAGGGCTAGAGTTCACTCTTGCGGGATTTGGAGCGTTGCTGTGGTAACCACGGCAACGCTCCGTGCTCACGAGAGAAGGACCCAAGGGAGCTGCAGGCTGAGCTCCCAGGTCCTCTCTCCACTGGCGGATCAGGCTCTCTCTCTGATCTCCCCTCCGGCCCGTGAAGGCACATTGCAGGGCTGGCGCTTGGACAGTGCCAGCCCTGCATTAGCCGGCAGGGGAGACGCTGTGCTGTAGAGGTTCTGTTTTTTAACGTAAGAGGAAAGACAAAATAAGCCCTTCTTGCATCACATGGAGTGTGACATATTGCCTGCATCTGCTGGACTATAACTCCTATCATGTCTAGTAAGATTCTAGCTGAAGATGATGGAAGTTAAAATAGATTACATTTTTCTGTACTTTTGTCATCCCACTGCAGGAGGGGACCTTACCCAGTTTGACTTTCTATGTTCTTGGAAAATAGCCCACATTACACTCCAGCTTCTTGGGCACTATATTAATTGTATTAATTTAATTGGAAAAAATTATCACTTCTCTGAAAATTCACCAATGACTACAACATTTAGACTCAGTTCAACATATATTAAAGTTACACTATAGCATTAGGAATACAAAGATGTACAGTCATATGAAAAAGAAAGTACATCCTCTTTGAATTCTATGGTTTTACATGGACATAATAACAATCATCCATTCCTTAGCAGGTCTTAAAATTAGGTAAATACAAGCTCAGATGACATGACTTATTACACCGCATCATAATTTATTTAACAAAAATAAAGCCAAAATGGAGAAGTCATGTAAAAAACTAAGTACACCTTTATTGGAATTAAGAAGCTAAGTAGCAGACATGTGCTGTTAATCAAGTACTTGATATATTGATCATCACCAAGTGTGACCACCTCTATTGAATCCTTAAGGACGGAGCCAATTGTACAAGTTATGATCAAAATAAAAGGTAAATAAAACCTGGAATTTGCGTTTTATGTATTTATTTATTTATAAAATATTTTACCAGGATGGATACATTGATATTTCTCTCGTTTTCAAGTATGTCCTGGGTCCACAAAACATTGCATTGTTACAATAGCATACAATATTACAAAAAATACAATATGCAAACAATATATATATCTATATACAAAGTACTATGTGTAGACCTATGCTTTCCCATACTCGTATGCATGAATGCTTATATATATTACTGTGCATTTATATTTGTGTATATGAGTCCATGTGCATGTATGTATATGTATATATACATGTGTTTATGCGTTCACATATACATATTTCTGTGTGTGTGCATGTATAAAGTGTATCATCCTGTGCACTGTCTGCTTGTTTGTTTTTCTTTTCCCTCTCTTCCCCCCTCACTCTGCTCTTCAAAAAGATATTTATAACCCTCTGCTAAGATGGTGTCTATTTTCTAACAAACCTGTGTCTTATCTACACTCATGTCGCTTTAACCCCTGTATCACAACTCAACTTTGAATTCTATGTGTCGTTTTGCTCAGAAATGCTTCAGACTTGAGAAAGGGAGGTTCTTGTCATTAAAAAATTCTGTTAGTCCAATAAAAAAGGTATTATAAGATAAGAATTTTATCTGTTTTTTACATGTGTATATATATATATATATATATATATATATATATATATATATATATACACACACACACATATATAAATTTAAAAGAGCACTATAGTGCCAGGAAAACACTCTTTTTCCTGGCACTTTAGTGCCCTGGGGGTGCCCCCACCCTCAGTGTCCCACTCCCGCGGGGCTGGATGGAGAGGAAGATGTTAAACATGTACCTTTCTCCAGCGCCGGGCTCCCTCGGCGCTGGGGACTCTCCTCCTCCTTCGGTCGTCATCGGCTGAATGTACATGCGCGGAAGAACCGCGTGCACATTAAGCCAGTCCATAGGAAAGTATTCTCAATGCTTTCCTATGGACGCAAGCGTCTTCTCACTGTGAAAATCACAGTGAGAAGCGCCTCTAGCGGCTGTCAATGAGACAGCCACTAGAGGCTGGATTAACCCTAAAGTAAACATAGTTTCTCTGAAACTGCTATGTTTACAGCAGAAAGGGTTAATCCTAGGTGTACCTGTCACCCAGACCACTTCATTAAGCTGAAGTGGTCTGGGTGCCTATAGTGGTCCTTTAACATATAACAAGTGATAAATATATTCAACCATGACAGGTGCATTCTGTGCTGAGGTGTATTGCCATAGATCTCTTAAAAGATTTTAGATTGAATTAAGATTTGACTGTGTCCCTGAAGTTATTCCATAATTGCAGTGCTCTGTAGGAAAAGGAAGATTGAGCCACTTTATTTTTGTATTGCGGTATGCTAAATATCGTGCTAGTACTGGATCGGAGGTGGAAACAGCCGGGGAGAGCATTCTACTCAGGTAGGGTGGGAGCTTCCCAGAAATGCTCTTATGCACAAGGCTGGAAAGATGAAGAGTGCATCGGGATTCCAGCGACAGCCAGTTTAGCTCTTTTAACATGTCACAGTGGTGGGTAAAGTAATTACATTCTAGTACAAAGTGGCAGAGCAAATGATATAATGTATTAAGTTTATTAAGGTGGGTTTGCGGTGCGGTTGCATACACTACATCCCCATAATCAATGACAGACCGGCATTAGCATTTGCTGCACTATCTGTTTTCTTACTGTTGGGCTTAGGCAGGATTTGTTTCTGTACTGGGCACCTAGTTTTGGGTAAAGTTTTGAAGAGATTTTTTCAATGTGAAGGCCAAAGGATAGATTGGGGTCTAGCAACATACCTAGATATTTTAAAAGAGCAGACTGCTGTCAGTGTGCTATTTGAATTTGTTCTGATACACAGTTGTTGATTTTGTAGTTTACGTAATTTAGGTACAGTTCCAAAGATCATTGTAACAGTTTTGTCAGTGTTTCGGAAGAGTTTGTTATCCACTATCCACTTTTCTACCTCTGTGAATTGGTTTTGAAACACAGCCTCAAGCTGCAGTAGTTTGGGTTTACTAGCGTAGATTAGTGACGTCTGCATACATGTGTACAGTTTAGGATTTGCAGACGTTAGGCAGATCATTTATAAATAATGTGAAGAGCAGGGGGCAGAGTATGGAGCCTTGGGAAACACCACATGTGACTGGAAGAGGGAGGGAAGCGCTATCAGAAATGGCCACATATTGCAATTGGTCTGAAATATACGATCGAAACCAGGTTAGCAGACGAACACCAATGCCTGAGTTTTTAAGTTTTTGCAAAAGAATGCCATGGTCTACTGTGTCAAAGGCCTTGGCAGAAGGAAAATAGCTCTAGTTAAGTCTCCTTGTTCCAAGCTAATTTGGTTGTCATTGCAGACTTTTAAGAGGGCAGACGAAGTTGAGAGATTTGGACGAACGCCTGATTGATCAAGGGTAAGATAATTTGATAGTTGATAATATTCACATTCACAAATGCTGGCAAAAGTTAGCGTTCTTGTGTGATTTTTGCTATTTTTATGCAAAAAGTTTTTTTTTGTTTTTTTTCACAAAAACGGCACTCTGGTGATTTCATCGTCGTAATAAGCTTTACTGTTTTACACTCATATTTGTGTTCAGTGAAGTCTTCTGAGTATAACAATACCCCCACGTACAGGTTTTATGGTGTTGTAGAAATTTACAGGGTTAAATATAGGGCTTGCCAATTAAATTATCTGCACCGTTTGCCTGCGTTGTCAGGTAGGTCCCTCAAATTATAATTAATAAAATAATTATGTAAAATTAATAGTAATATATAATATATATGGCCATAAGCCTGAATTTGTGGGAGGAGTTTTTCCTATATAAACTCAACTCCCTCCCCTACATACCTAAGCCGTTTCCTGATCGAGTGACGTTGCCATGACAACCATCACTTCCGTTCCGGTCCTTCCCGCCAATTTTTCACGGACCTGACCTTCAAAGTTTCTGACCCGGCTCCCGTATCGCAAGGCTTCCGGTCACGAGACCCTGCACACTTACGTATACCAAACATGGGGTTTGGCTCCCACTACGTTTGCATACACGCGTACCGTTCATTTGCATTCGTTTAAACATTACTGTAATCCTATGGAACAAGCGCAGCTTAGTGGAGCTTGACAGAGCTAGGAGGCGGGTATAGGGGGAAGGCCCCTTGTGGGAGTGGAGTTAGAGTGTAAAAGGGATTGGCCCAGTATAAATAGGCAGCCATTTTAGAAGCAGGCACTTTTAATCTGTTTACCTAGCCTAAAGTTGTCCATTTGTTAGCTCCTGTTTGGTCACAGTGGCGGGGCTAGAGAGAGAAAAGTTAGGGGACAAACAGGCTCTGGGGTAGTGTAAATAGAATAGGGCAGTTAGGCTGTTGGTAAAGAGCTTGGTTAAACGGTTCGTTATGAACTTTGGTAGATTTCGAGCTCGGTGGTGGCTCAGAACATGGTGTGTGGTAGGGGTATCCGGGTATGCCCCTAACCGTGGTTATTTAACAAAGTTTGGCACTTATATTATGTTTATGATGTTTGTTATTAATGTTGTTGATGTTATTTATATTTACAGAAAGAATGGGTCATTGCCTTTTGTTTTGGAGACATATGATGTTATATGGCGGGATGGGGGCTGGACAATTACTTTAATTTATTGTAATCAATCTTTATAAAGCTGTGGACATATTGACCCATACATCAGTGTGTTTTTGGGGTAAGTTTTGGGGGGGGGGGGGGGGGGAATTCCACCTGTCCATATGTGGCGACTATGCGCCTGTCATGTGCTTAACCCCTTAAGGACACAGCTTCAAAAGCTTATCTTACCCTTAAAGGACCACTCTGGGCACCCAGACCACTTCAGCTTAATGAAGTGGTCTGGGTGCCAGGTCCAGCTAGGGTTAACCCATTTTTTTCAGAGAAAATGCAATGTTTATGAATGGGTTAAGCCTTCCCCCAAAGCCTCTAGTGGCTGTCTCATTGACAGCTGCTAGAGGCGCTTGTATGCTTCTCACTGTGAAAATCACAGTGAGAGCAGGCAAGCGTTCATAGGAAAGCATTGATAATGCTTTCCTATGCGACCGGCTGAATGCGCGCGCAGCTCTTGCTGCACGTGCGCATTCAGCCGACGGAGAGGAGGAGGATCGGAGGAGGAGAGCTCCCCGCCCAGCGCTGGAAAAAGGTAAGTTTTTACCCCCTTCCAGATCCGGGCGGCAGGGGGTCCCTGAGGGTGGGGGCACCCTCAGGGCACTATAGTGGTCCCTTAAGGACACAAGAAATTTTTGCATTTTTTGCTGTTTGTGTTCAAACACAATTTGCATCTCTGTCATTTATTGCACCAACACATATAATATACCGTTTTTTAGAGGGCAAACAGGGCTCCCATTTTATGTCACATATACATAGCTAAATTCTCATTAATTATAAAAAAAAAAAGCACAAAAAATGGGAAAAAACAATAATAGCATGTGCATTTAATTTATGTGTCTTGATTTATAGAGTATATAATATGTATAGAATTTAAGCTTTTTTTGAGTTACAGGTCACAAAATAAAATTTTAATGTGAAACAATTTTAGAAGTTGGTATGTTTGTCTTGTGGGTTTAGTAGCCATCACAGAAAACAAAATTGCCACACAAAAGTATATATTTATATAAAGTAGACATCACCGGCTATTTACCTAAGGTTAGTTTGACACTTTTTACGTAGCCATTTCACCGCCAATCTGTGCTAAATATTGGAGCAAAATTGTGTTTTTTCTCTATTTCGGTATATACACATATAACAAGGTTTTTGTAATGTGTTTTTCGTAAAGCTGGTGTGTGCTATTTCTGCACAGAACCCCATATTGTGTTCAGCTACATCGCTGAGTATAACGATATCCCCATTGTATGCCTTTGGCACTATTCTGTGAAGCTACAATGCCATATAATTGACAAGGCTATTTTAGTTTCTATAGGTAGAATTTACGTAGATGGATTTGACGGGCCTTTGTCTCATTTTAAAGGTATTATAGCAGTGTGACTGTTCAAATAACCGCACAAAGGGCTTTCATTTGATAAAGCAGACACCCCAGGGTATCTTATATGGCATATATTGTGCCTTAACTTGTCACCATCTTTTCACCAATTTATGTCAATGTTTGTGGTGAGGGGAAAAAAAGTATTTCTTACACTTGAAATGTACCACTGTCATAAAAAACCCAAAATTATGCTCAGTTACATCTTCCGAGTAAAACAATATGCCCAATGTATGACCTAGACACTATTTTGTGAAGTTACAGTGCTGTAAAAAAGACGTGACAAGTTCAGGTTTTTAAGTGTGAATTTTCATGGAGAGTTTGGAACACTTGAGCAGGCTACATATTCCAACTACACCATAAAGGCAAACCATTTCTTAAAGATGACATCCCAGGGTATTTCAAAAGGCATATTTTGTACCTTAGCCTGAGATAAGCTTTCTTCTAGCTTGTACTAAGTGTAGTGGTAACAAGCATTTGTACTGCCTTTTTGACACACAAAGTGAGTTTGCACAGTATATTTTGCAAACCTTATGTGTGCTAAGACTGTATAATACTTCATATGTTGCTCCCCTATATCGGCTGAGTACAGCAATACCCCCGCCAGGTATAGGTGGCCATTGAAAGGGCACATTTGAGACACAGCCATTCCAGTTTTTTTTCAAAGTTTTAATTTTTACGCTGTGTCCATGTCCCATTTTAGAGTATTTTAGCAGGCTATATAATCCAACTACCCCATAAAGGCATACCATTTCTCAAAGAAGACATCCAAAAGTATTTCAAAAGGCATATTTTGAACCTTAGCATGGGAACATTTTTCCGCTGTTTTGTACAAAATGTAGTGGTAATAAGCGGGTTTTTTTCTGCCTTTTTAACACACAAAGTGAGTTTGCATAGTATATTTTGCAAACCTTGTGTGCTATGACTGTATAATACTTCATATGTTGCTCAGCTATGTTGGCTGAGTACAGCAATACCCCCATATGTACCTTTACCAGGTAGCCAGGTATATGTGGATGTTGAAGGGGCACATTTGAGACGCAGCCAGTTTTTTTTCTAACTTTGAAGTTTTACGCTGTGTTCCATTTTGGTTATTCAAACTTCCCCAGAAACACAAACTATTTATTAAAGAATACACCCCAGGGGAATTCAAAAGGTATATTTTGAACCTTAGCATGGGATAATTTTTTTCTAGTTTGTACCAGATGTAGTGGTAATAAGCGTTTTTTCTGCCTTTTTGACATACAAAGTGAGTTTGCACAGTATATTTTGCAAACCTTATGTGTGCTACGACTGTATAATACTTCATATGTTGCTCAGCTATGTCGGCTGAGTACAGCAATACCCCCGTATGTACCTTTGCCAGGTATGTGTGGACATCGGAGGGGCACATTTGGGACACAGCCATTCCAGTTTTTTTCAAACTTTGAATTTTTATGCTGTGCCTATGTCCCATTTTAGAGTATTTTACCAGGCTATATAATCCAAATTCCCCATAAAGCCATACCATTTCTTAAAGAAGACATCCCAGGGTATTTCAAAAGGCATATTTTGAACCTTAGCGTGGGATCATTTTTCCGCTAGCTTGTACCAAGTGTAGTGGTAATAAGCATTTTTTCTGCCTTTTTGACATACAAAGTGAGTTTGCGCAGCATATTTTGCAAACCTTATGTGTGCTATGACTGTATAATACCTCATATGTTGCTCAGCTATGTCGGCTAAGTACAGCAATACCCCCGTATGTACCTTTGCCAGGTATATGTGGATGTTGAAGGGGCGCATTTGAGACGCAGCCATTCAGTTTTTTTCTAACTTTGAAGTTTTACGCTGTGTCCATGTTCCAATTTGGAGTAGTTTAGACGGTTATTGAAACTTCCCCACAAACACATACTATTTATTAAAGAATACACCCTGGGGTAATTCAAAAGGCATATTTTGAACCTTAGCATGGGATAATTTTTTTCTAGTTTGTTCCAGGTGTAGTGGTAATGAGCATTTTTAATGTATATTTTTACTTTTTTAAACTTTAACCCCTAACTAGCAGTAAGCAGCACTAACAGTAAATTCCCCATTTCCCCATAACTCCCACCCATCCCAGCTAGGAAAATATATAATTTTAAAATATTTAAATTAATTAAATAAATTGAACCCGAGGGATAAAAAATAAATAAAAGTTAATCCTATGGGGTTAAAAAAAAATTAGATCACAGTATAATACTGTGATCTGTATTTTGATCACTGTAGGCAGTGATCAACTGGCAGGGAAGGGGTAAATTTTTATTTGGACTGGGTAAAGGGGAGTGGGATTTTTTTTGCTTTTTTAATACGTTCAAAAAACCTTTTTTAATGTTAACCCCTAACTAGCCTAACATCAAATTCCCCAATTGCCCACTAACTTCCACTCACCCCAGCTAGCCTAATATATAATTTTAAAATATTAAAATTAATTAATAAAATAAATTTAACACCTGAGGGTTACATTTTTCTTTTTAACCCTCTGGGGTTAAAAAATAATCAGATAACAGTAAAATGTAGTCCATGCCAACTGATCACTGTAGTAAGTCATCATTTGGCATGGAAAGGGTTAATTTTATAAAACTAGGGGAAGGGGGGGTTGGGATTTAACTTAAATTTTTTTTATAATTTTTTTTTTACACAGGGTGAAGCACGATCGGGTGCTCCCAGTCTGCCTCTAATACCTAGGCAGACCGGATGAGCGTTAACCCCGCAATCTGAGGTTAACTTTAGTAAATAATGGAAATTTTCCGTCAAGGGTCCTTAACGCAAGGACAAGCTTTGGTCGGGAAGGGGTCAATACTCCCGTGGGTTTCCGCTTGTTCCCATAAAGTCTGTTTGTTCACTTACCCTGTTCATTCGTCTGGTTCAAGCCGTACGTTCGTTTATTTGTCCCGTTCGTACGTTGGTTGAATCATGTGTTCATTCGTTTAAATCTTAAGTTACCTAGAAGCTGACAAGCTTTAGTTTAAAACCGTTCGGTTGGGCATTCTCTTAAAGGTATACTCCAGGCACCCGGACCACCTCTGCCCATTGGAGTGGTCTGGGTGCCACTACCCTTAACCCTGCAAGTGTAACTATTGCAGTTTTCATAAACTGCAATATTTACCTTGCAGGGTTAAGTCCTCCTCTAGTGGCTGTCTACTAGACAGCCACTAGAGGACACTTCCGTGTTCTTAGAACATGAAACGTGTTTTAAAATGACGCTGGACGTCCTAACACTATGTGAGGACCTCCAGCATCGAGCAAATCTCCGTAGGAAAGCATTGAAAGCATTATTGAATGCTTTCCCAAGGGGAGATGTAATGCGCATGGTCGTGCATGCGCATTAGGCCCCCCTCTGGCTGACGTCGGGGGAGGAGAGAAGGCGGAGCCTGACCCAGTGCCGAGGGACATCGGCACTGGACTCCGGTAAGTCACTGAAGGGGTTTTAACCCCTTCAGCAACTTGAGATGGGGGGGTGGGAGAGGGGCACGAGAGGGTGTGCAGTGCCAAGAAAACAAATATGTTTTCTTGGCACTGGAGAATCCCTTTAATTTCACTGTCAGTATGTTTTTATAAACCGTAGGTTTTGATACAGGGTTCACTGTTCGTTTTAGCATGCGCTGAATTTCACTCCCTTTGTGCAGGCTTTTATGTTTGTTTTTTCCTGCACTTATTAATGGATATTTGGTACGGTTAAATAAACTTGCTTTTCACGTTTTATTCCGCTCACTACCTTCACCTGTGCGTTTCAGTGTTGGTCACAGTTCACTATTTACCAATGTTCTTCAATATACTGCATGTTTTAAATTCGTATTTCCATTCGCTAGGATTTATGTGCACTAGGTTGCTTAACATTATGGAAGCTGCAATTTGTGTGTGTGCCAGTGTGTATGTTTAGGTCAGAGTGTATCTGTGAGTGTGTATGTGTAGGCATCTGTGAGTGTTAGTGTGTATCTGTGTGTACTACAGACAACGTAGTCCACTGCACTTAGGTTCTGCTTTTCACTCCGCCCACAGCCTTAGAGGTGCTCTGCATTAGACAGAAACTGCTAATCCGTCCAACAATACAAGGGGGAGGAGGAAGGGGAGAGAGAGACCCCGTGTATGTGTACAGCCTTCAATCCCCTAAACAAGAGTCCCCTATTCCTCAGCTGCAGCCCTTATCACCCCGCCCTAGTCCACCACCAGTGCTCCTCCCGCGATTTGGTTCTGGATCCACCCCTGCTTGATACTCACTTTGTTCTTCTATCCACGTACTGTAGGTGCCCATATTATTATTTATATTATTTATAAAATATTTTACCAGGAAAGATACATTGAGATTTCTCTCGTTTTCAAGTATGTCTTGGGTCCACAAATCATTGCATTGATACAAGAGGGTACCATAAAATACAAAAATAATATATACAAAATTTAACATAGAACAGGTAGGAAATATATAATCAACCATGACAGGTGCAATCTGTTTTGAAGTATGTAGTGAGGGATCTCTTAAAGGACTTTAGGCTTGGGGAAGATTTGAAAGTATGCGGGAGGTCGTTCCATAATTGCGGTGCTCTGTAGGGAAAGGATGATCGGGCTGCTTTCTTTTTCTGTTGAAGTACACTAAATAAAGTGCTGGTACTGGATTGGCGGTTATAGGAGGTGGGAAAAGCTGAGGAGAGCATTCTGCTCAGGTAGGGCGGGAGCTTCCCTGAAAAGCTCTTAAACAAAAGGCTGGAAAGATGAAGGGTGCGTCTGGATTCCAGCGAAAACCAGTTTAGTTCTTTTAGCATGTCACAATGGTGGTTCCTGTAATTACATTGTAGCACAAATCGGGAGAACGAGTTATACAATGAATTGGGTTTATTACTGTGAGATTGCGGTGCAGGTGCATGTACTACATCCCCATAATCAATGATTGGCATCAGCATTTGCTGTACAATCTTTTCCTTTACTGTAGGGCTTAGGCAGGATTTGTTTCTGTACAGTGCACCAAATTTTGGTTAAAGTTTAGATGCAAGTTTTTTCTATGTGGAGGCCAAAAGATAGATTGGGGTCTAACAACATACCCAAGTATTTGAAAGAGTGGATTGCAGTCAGTGTGCGATTTGTATTAGTTTTGATGGATAGGTGGAAATTGTATAATTTAGGTACTGTTCCAAAGATTATTGTAACAGTATGTTTTTTGAGATCCACTTTTCTACCTCTGTAAACTGGTCTTGGAGCACTCCGTCAAGCTGCGGTAGATTGAATTTGATTGCAAAGATTACTGTGTCGTCTGTGTACATGTGTACATTTGAGGATTTGCAGACATTAGGCAGATCATTTATAAATAATGTGAATAGTAGGGGTCGAGAATGGAACCTTGGGGAACACCACACGTGACTGGGAGAGGGAGGGAGTCACTGTCAGAAATTAACACATATTGCGAGCGATACGATACATTTGATCGAAACCAGCTTAGCGGACGTTCACCAATACCTGGGTTTTTGAGTTTGTTCAGTAGAATGTCGTGGTCTACGGTGTCAAAAGCCTTTGCAAAACTTAAGAAAAATAGCTTCAGTTAGGTCTCTTTGTTCCATGCTAGTTTGGATGTCATTGCAAACTTTTAAGAGGGCAGTTGTAGTAGAGTGATTCGGGTGAAAACCCGATTGATCAGCGGTCAGATAGTTAAGATTGTTGGTGATACTGGGATGCATGGTTTTTAAGATATTTGACAATACTGGGAGCAATGATATTGGGTGATAGTTAGAAACCAAAATAGTGTCTCCACTTTTATGAATAGGCACTACTCTCGCAGTCTTTCAAAGTTTTGAGTATGTATCCAGACACCAAGGATTCGTTAATTAGGGTCGCGACAGGTTTAGCAATTGCCAGTGCTCTGAGCTTGAACAGCATTGCTGGGATTTGATCAGGTCTAGATTGGTTTTTCATTTTTAAATTATTAAGGTGTTTTTTAATGACCCTAATAGGTACAGGTCTAAAAATGAACTTGTCTTTATTGGGTCTATGCAAATTTAGTCGGGCCTGATCCCCATTTGTAGTTTCAGGACGCGGGTCATTTATTAGCTTGGCAATCAGGGTGGTGGAGCATCCGACAAAATAATTATTAAAAGGCATTTGCTACATCTAAGGGAAGTTGCAGGGTTTGGTTATCCTCTTTGACAGTGGAGGGTTGGGAGTGGATTGGGGGAGTTTGTAATTTATTTATGACTTTCCAATAGTTTCTAGGGTTTGATAGGTTATTGTTCAGATTTTCACAGAAATATTGGGCCTTGGCCAGTTTTGTGCATATATTTCGCCATTGTCTATATGCACATTGATTGTTCATAGAGCCAGTACGCTTGAACTTTGACCACAAAGAATCCCAAAACTGGTACAATTGGATGAGGTCAGCAGTGATCCAGTTCATATGTGCTCCTTTTACTCTCACCTTATGCATGTCAGGATGGCGGTACGGTGCCCGGGACCCAGACACTGTCTGGGCGGCGTTGCGACGACCGGGACCCAGTATGCCTGATGTTCAGAGTAGGAGTCACAGTGTGGAGGTGGATTAGCAGGGTCTGGTGCAGGGTAACCGCAAGCCCCCTGGTGTTGAGCACCAGCGTTTGTGCAGCCACATACCAGAACCCTGATTCAGTTTATGCGGATCCCAGAAATTAGGAGCTTGGACTTAAGCAGACCTCCCAGGAACTGTATAGGGAGGCTCTGCAGCAGGTTTGTATCCAGTACAGAAACAAGGCAAGACTAGAGATAGGCACCATACAAGAAAACAAGACAAAACCAGGAGAACAATGCAAGACTAGAGATAGGCACCATGCATGAAAACAAGGCAAAACTAGGAGGACAGGGCAAGACTAGAGATAGGCACCATACATGAAAACAAGACAAAACTAGTAGAACCAGAACCGGAGAAGGATAGGAAGCTAAACCCAGAACATGTACACAAGACATGAGGGAAACATGAACATAACATGGGCATGACTGGACAGGACTGTACGTGGACTGGGTATACAAACTAAAACAAGATAAGATAGGCAAAACAAGAGGAGAAATAACTAAGCACTATATATGAAAAGTATGGGGATTTAGTCACATTATATGATCATACATTGCATAAGCCTGCCAACAACACCAATGTACCCCATATCTGGCAGGTCCTACACTGCATAATGTTCGCTAAAAGAACCATACTAAACCACAATAGCACTTACCTGCAAGAAATGGCAGAGACTTGAGACACTGCTGCAGGTCCAGACTGAAATAAAAGGAAAATGGAAAACAAACGGGTGTGGCAACATAAAACAAACATTTAAAGGAAACCTGGAGACTGGGAAATCCAGGGATGGACTACAGGAATGAACCCAGAAATCCCAGCAATAAAGAAAACCAGACATAGACTAGAAAACCAGAAAAAACAAGAAAAACTAAGCAAGGATAGTAAAAAGAGTACTGGATACCAGAAGCCATTGCCAGAATGATCCACAGCTAGGAACAGGATGTGACAATGCAGCGGGGCATGCAGTTTAGTAGTAAACTTACTGGAGAAACCAAGAACAGCTGTGTTTCTCTAGCAATCTTGTTTCAGGTGCTTTATTCCTTACGTTTGTATTTTTTGTTAAACACGTATATTAAGGCCTCACTCCTCCTTTTACGTTTACACATTGCGCTTTTTTAGGCATTGCATCAGACCCACGTCAGGTCCTCAATATGTTTACGTTCATACGGTGACTTCTGTAGTACTATCTGCTTTCCAGCTTTTACAATTACTCCATTAGGCCGTTGGTAATTCATTGATTGGGTTTACTATTCATTACTTTGGTGACCCATTAGGGGGATTACACGACATCCAGTTTCTAAATTATACCATGCGGTGAGTAATACCATCTCCTAAATATCGTATCTTCCAGGTAAAATTCTTTCAGGTGTGCTCTTTCATTAATTTCAGTACCAATTTAGATAATAGTACTGATCATCCTCCTGCTACAGTAATACTATGCTTATAAACGTCATGTGATGTTAAACTTACATTAGGTACGTTACATATACATAGGCAGCCAAGCAAACACGTGTACGTCAATTACTACAAATGCGATTCAGGCTAAATCCATTAGAATGTCTACTAAAAGATACGGTAAACTAGAGTTTCCCACTTGTTTCATATCAAATGTTGAGGCCTCACTCTGCCTTCATTACAACCACTGAATACAATTCAAACCCTTAACATTTACTAGAGACTTGTCTCTGCACGCCGGACCATCGCAAGGTTCTCTATGCGCATTCAATCATACCTTACATAATTTAATATTTTATACATTTACTATGTTACTTTATGCTTCAAGAAATCCATCGGGATATTGACTTCCTGTCATGCTATCTGTTTTTCTGTCTAGAAATGTTTACATCTACAGGCATCTTAGGATACAGACAATTTGCGATCTCAAACCTAGCAGGTAAACGATTATAATGTATTTATCATACCAACACAAATACTTTTTAAGTTTAAACCACATTCAGTCTCTCTTCTTCAGTTTCCGCTCTTAAGAACACATTTTTTCCCCCTTCTGTTAGTCACTGTATTTCCCTTCTATTCTTCGGTTCACATCACAACCTGTAGTTTCATCAGGTGTCTTTTTTCCAGTCCTACTCTCTCTGATTCTATCCAGTTTGATAACACACATATGTTTACGTTCACGCTCATCCACAAAGAGACAAGACCCGCCAAGGATAAGAGAACTTTTAGGAATAAGAGCTGGCCATAGTCAAATAAATATTGAACATACCGGTTCTGAAAGGCCAACTCCCCACCTCAACACGGAGGTTTCGCCCAATGGCTCAACTACTAGTTAGTCCTTACATACTCTTCTGCAGCGTCTTAGCTAGGTCCCATGTTTTCTTTTACCATCACCGAGAGGCCAACACCCCGCTTCAACGCATCGTAGCTACGAGTCCACACGGCCCAAATCATAGGTAGAGCCTCTCACAGCCACTTGGCAACTAGCAGGGCCTCACCTGTCACTGGATAGTTAATATCTTCACCTATCTGCACTAGTTAGCAAGCCAGCTCTACATAAGGGATATTATTCATTTGCACCAAAGTTTTACATTGTTAACTCATTTTTAATTCCCTTACAGGATGCTGCAAGAAACAGCTTCAGGTGACATTCAATCTTTAAAAGACACTCTGTCATAACCCTGTCATCCCAGGTCTCCCGCAGAATCCCATCCCCGCAACTACTAGGCCCTGATGTCTGGCCCTTGCTTAAATGTGACAGTTACCCCTATATGGCTAGGTGTCACTACCTCAAACTTGCATACATAACATGGTTAAATGACATTTAATTGAACTGGTATAAACGTTTACCGTACACTTTTAACGCCAATCCTACATAGGGTTTTTTCTGAAAAATCAGTTTTGCGTTAGATTTAGTTATTTGTTACGTAAGGGTTGTTGGTATTGGTTTACATCCAACACATTTTGTAGCAGGTTTACAATACTGCCGAAAGTATCTATACATGGTTTTTACGTTCCACGTAAACACTTTCATTGTATGTTCTCGTTGAAATAGTTTTAATTACCTTAAATTTTCCGTCTTTCCAATATCACTACTCTCCCAGTTCTCCACTATTCAACTCTCCGTTGCATTTTCCATATAGAAGTTGTCCTTGCAAGGTTCATCACTTGATACGTACATCACTTGTCTGTCTCCAGGCAATCCCAAATTTATATTAGGCCAACATGGGCCTACATATCGGGCGATTACCAGCCAACAAATACAGTCTCATTACAGGTTCACAATATACATACATTCTAGAGTTTAATCATTATTAGAATTTTATTATGACATATGCTGTATGGTTTTATTTTCACGTTATATGCTGTTAAACGTATGTATGACTCCTGGTTAATTCTAGTCACTTACACTAATCTTTTCAACAGTATTACCCCAGTCAACTACTTTATTTACCCCTATGTTGTTTGTAACATATTTGTTGGTTTGTCACTCATATGTTTACAACAATTTTACCTTAGGCCCCGTATGGTGCATGTATTCGGCAGACTCCAGTTTATCATTGTACAATGTACTCCTCCTGCTTTTATATGGTATTTCAATTTGGACATTTAGTGGTCACCTATAGTTCATTGTCACTAAGTCTTGCCATTCTATACTACCCACGTTACAGATAAGTAGTTCATCATTGCATCTATGCCTATGTTGACAGATTGGGTTCAGTCGATCAGGTATCACTCAGCCTTATCACTCCTATAGGGTACACAATAACCCCTTATTCTCAGGACGTCAAGAAGATTGGCTCTTTATACTTGACCCATGAATGGTCCACCCTACATATACCTTCTTCCATTTCAATCAGTTATGCTTCCATGCTCATTTACATTCTCTCTCTACGTGTTCTGTCTAAGGGGAATCAACTTCTCTCACGTTGGCTGTTACGTTTGTATAGAAGTACCTCACTTGTTCTCCCTAATCTTCACAGGTTTACTGTAATCTCGTTCGTTGCTCCTCTGTTTATGAGGTTGACATTTATTACTCATAGGTCACAGTCAGGCTTTTCCCTTACAGCCTAATATGCGCACCTTTTTCTATTACTAAGGGTAAGCGGAGTTACATCCTTCCTTCCACTTTCCCTATTATCTATGCATGCTTCATAGTAACCTGTTTGCCCTATCTCTGTAGGGTGTACTTTCCAGGTCTCGCTCTTAGAGACCATCTTGGTTACCAAGTAAGGTATGTTAACCATTACGTTCAAATACGATATGTTTCAAACCCCGGTACGGGAACAGTGAATTAACCTTTAGGTTTAGGCGCTGGTCTGGGGGGTGGGGTATAACCTTACAGCTTTCATACTACCCTGATCTCAATTTCAACTATGTTCAACTTGCACCCACCATCGACATATATCCGACAAAATCCCAGCATTTACAGAAGCTGGTTATGGATTTATGTTACTCGCACAGTCACTATACTATCACACTCGTTCTATGAATTCAAACGACTTACGTCAGGACATTACAGTTTTTAGTAGGTTAAGTTTGAGCGTCCCTCCACAGGTAATCACTACATTAAGACCATGATGAACTTTTGGCCTTTCTGCCATTTACAAATAACACATAACATCATTCATTCTTACCTTTTAGTAATACTACATCACTACTTTTCCAAATCATACTCCCTTTCTTCCCTTATATCCCATTACAACAATCTCCTAAGACATCACAGACCATTCTCTTTCATCCATTAGACTACTCATAACTGAACTTACATACAAGAGCCTACCCGATTTATTGGATACCAAACCTTTCGATAGTAAGATAATTTACATTGCCTTCCACAGTTTCTCGAGGCCCAGAGAAATCACAGTGGTACACCATATTAAGTCAACTCCAACCTCATCGTACGCATTGACCTTCACATTCTCACCCTTAAAGGACCACTATAGTGCCAGGAAAACAAACTCTTTTCCTGGCACTATAGTGCCCTGAGGGTACCCCCACCCTCAGGGTCCCACTCCCGTGGCGCTGAAGGAGGAGGAAGGGGTTAATCCCTTACCTTTTTTCCAGCACCGGGCTCCCTCTGCGCTGGGACTCTCCTCCCTCTTCTGATGTCATCGGCTGAATGTGCAGCTAGAGCCGCGCACGCGTCCAGCCAGTCCCTATGGACGCTGGCTTCTTCTCACTGTGAAAATCACAGTGAGAAGCACAGAAGCGCCTCTGGCGGCTGTCAATGAGACAGCCACTAGAGGCTGGATTAACCCATAGGTAAACATAGCAGTTTCTCTGAAACTGCTATGTTTACAGCAGAAAGGGTTAATCCTAGATGGACGAGGCACCACGTTAATACTAGATACACGCATACCCATACGCAACAGCTTCCATCTAACTCTGTTGCAGTCACTTCACGGTCCTCCACTCTGTCTTGTCCTCATTATTACATCGAACAGTATGCTAAAAGTGTGTTTTCCACTGATACCTTTTTGGCCCTCTTTATACAGGCCTACCTGTATGTTGGTTTCGGCACAACGCTACCAACTTTCTCGCTTTCCTCTATTATATATACGAATTAAGTTCTGACCACAAGTATATATGTATATATAGGGTGTGTGTGTGTAATATATATATGTCAAAAGACTACAGTACCTTGCACTCAAGCTGCAAAAATGTTCTTAGCCGGGTGCACTACCAGGGCTCCAAAATAGACAGTAGAAAGTAGATGGCTGCACTCACGGTCTTCCAAGTAAAAATTTACTTTTATTATGCCATTTTAAAATCAGAATCAACGTTTCAGTCCTCTCCAAGGACTTTCATTAGGATCATAAATGTGTACAGAGTATTAATATATAATGGCCTCTAAGTCTGGTTCAGTAGGAATCACAATCATGGGGTAGACTGCTGACCTGTCAGTTGTGCAGAAAACCATCATTGACACCCTCCATAAGGAGGGAAAGCCTCAAAAGGTAATTGTGAAGGAAGTTGGATGTTCCCAAAGTGCTTTATCAAAGCACATTAATAGAAAGTTATGTGGAAGGGAAAAGTGTGGAAGAAAAAGGTGCACAAACAGCAGGAATGACCGCAGCCTGGAGAGGATTGTCAGGAAAAGGCCACTCAAATGCGTTGGGGACTTTCACAAGGAGTGGACTGAGGCTGGAGTCAGTGCATCAAGAGCCACCACACACAGACGGATCCTGGACATGGGCTTCAGGTGTCGTATTCCTCTTATCAAGCCGCTCCTGAACAACAAACAACGTCAGAAGCGTCTTACCTGGGCTAAAGAAAAACAGACCTGTCTTCTTTTCTGATGAGAGCAACTTTTGCATCTCATTTGGAAACCAAGGACCCAGAGTCTGGAGGAAGAATGGAGAGGCACACACTGCAAGATGCTTCAAGTCCAGTGTGAAGTTTCCACAGTCTGTGTTGATTTGGGGAGCCACGTCATCTGCTGATTTGGTCCACTGTGCTTCATTAAGGCCAGGGTCAACGCAGCCGTCTACCAGGAGATTTTGGAGCACTTCATGCTTCCTTCCGCAGACGAGCTTTATGGGGATGCCGACTTCATTTTCCAGCAGGAAAAAGCACCAAAGCCTGGTTCAATGACCGTGGGATTACTGTGCTTGATTGGCCAGCAAACTCGGCTGACCTGAACCCCATAGAGAATCTATGGGGCATTGCCAAGAGAAAGATGAGAGACATGAGACTGAACAATGCAGAAATGCTGAAGGCCACTATTGAAGCATCCTGGTCTTCCATAACACCTCAGCAGTGCCACAGGCTGATAGCTTCCATGCCACACCGCATTGAGGCAGTAATTGCTGCAAAAGGGGCCCAAACCAAGTACTGAGTTCATATGCATGCTTATACTTTTCAGAGGTCCGATATTGTTCTATGTACACTCCTTGTTTTATTGATTGCATGTAATATTCTAATTTACTGAGATTGTGGATTTGGGATTTTCATCAGCTGTAAGCCATAATCATTGCACTTATGACAAATCACGGCTTAAACTATCTTGCTTTGCATGTAATGCGTCTATCTCATATATTAGTTTCCCCTTTTACGTTGCATTACTGAAATAAATGAACTTTTGCATGATATTCTAATTTTTCGAGTATCATCTGTATATATGAATCCAGGGGGCTGCACTCACCTGAACATGCATAAACGGGGTGCTGCAGGGGGCCAATTTATACAATACACAAGATCCAGCGCACTCACCTATCCACTAAACAGCAACTTCAATGTTGACCGATTTTATTCTTTTTATTTAAAAAAAAAACCAAACACCTAATCTAGGCGAAAATAATGGGGGTTTAGTTACATTATATGATCATACATTGCATAAACCTGTTACAACGTCAATGTACCCCATCTTTGGCAGGTCCTACTCTAACAGCCTAATGTCTGCTCTTATGAGATTTACTTGGGGGGAAAAATTCCATCTAAGGCTCTCTGCAGAACAAGGTATAATAGGGCCCTGGGATGAGGCACCTGTGACAGGGAGGGGTGCAAAACCAAGGAGTTGGCTAGGCTCCCAAATAAATAAATATATGAAACCAGGGGGCTGCACTCATCTGAACATGCATAAATGGGGTGCTGCTGGGGGCCAATTTATACAACACACAAGATCCAGCGAACTCACCTACCCGGTCTACCCTGCAGTGGCGCCAAACCATGCGGCCTATTACCTGGAGACCTCAACAAGCAAACATCCCATATCGGTGGTCGACCCCAAGAGCCTTGATAGTGCAGACAGCAGAGAAAACCTCAAAGCTCCTGACTGCAATTGGCGTTGCAGATGTCACAAAGTTCCTGACTGCAATTGGCATTGCAGATGCCACACACGAGACCCAAGAGCCTGCACAAATGCACCGCTGGGACGTCCTGAACGTCCGACCTTTTGTCCCTTCTGGGGCGAGGGACTAAATGACTCAAGCACAACAAGACCAACCGTTAGACAAACAGGTAAAGGAGAAGCGTTTACTTACACCCCTAGCTAAAAACACCTACAGTGTTACACTCTCCTTTCCCTCCCTCCCCCGCAGCCCTCCTGGGTTAGGGGCAATCGCAAACACTGAGGACCCACTCACAATGATACTCACTACATGTACCCCGAAGCTGAGTGGCTAGTCGCACAGCATCCAAATTAGGCATCCCTAGCCTAAACTAGGAACCCCCACGACACCCACACCATGCTAAGGCACCTCCGGCAAGGGGACACTACACTTTACTCGGCTTAGTGGCCGTAACTAACTAACACCAGAAACAAACTATTAGCCCAAGCTATTGCAGTAGGAAACCGGGATAACTGATCCTACATACCAATATTATTCATAAGAAAGACCCCACTAGACACACAATACGCATGGCGTGTTATTAATCTTCTTACCACCCCAACGGGTAGGCTACGGAAAAAGTCTATTAAATGACACACACAAACATGTTCTTTTCATGTTAAACTATAAAATGTGCACTGCTACTGTATACAACATTCTACAAGGTGCTATATTACGTACCATATTGGTGTCTGGGACACACCCTTCATCTACAAAGTTTACTCTCTGTATACAGGAAGTATATACCTAATGTCCTCCCCCCCCCGGAGCGGTGGGTGGGGGCCATATATAAAAATTGGGGTGGGGGGAGATAAATAAAAATCCCCCTCCCCCCCCAGGTGACAGTGTAGGAAAATTCCAAAGAACTTTCCCACGCTGTGTAAAATGACACAGAGCACTCTGATTGGTTAGCTTGAAATCCAGCCAGAGGGCTCTGTGTCATTTTTACACAGCGTGGGAAAGTTCTTTGGAATTTTCCCACGCTGTGTAATTTGACTCATAACACTCTGATTGGTTACTTAATCCACCAATCAGAGTGCTCTGTATCATTTTACACAGCATGGGAAAATTCCAAAGAACTTTCCCATGCTGTGTAAAATGACACAGAGCACTCTGATTGGTGGATTTCAAGCCAACCAATCAGAGTGCTGTGACAGGTAAATGTAGAGACTTACCTGTCAATCTCTTCATTTACCTGTTAGAGCATTCTGATTGGATGGCTTAAACCCACCCATCAGAGTGCTCTGAGCCTAAATGGTTCCAGGCCATTACAGTTCTGGATTTCTATAATTTGTTTTGCAGTTTTGATGTGCATTTCATTTGGAGGTTGTTTTGGAAAATCTACACATCAAACAATTATGTGAGCATGTCTGCATTTTGCAGTCCAACTGCATGCAAGTATCTTTGGTAATCCAGTCTTTAGCGAATAACTCCATATATCTTGGTTTTTATGTTATATATAAAATTCTTAGAAACAACAAAAGTTAAACATTAAGAAGATATTTTTTTTACATCCATTGCAATACAATTCCTTGCTGGGTGTGTAAACCCAAGTATTTATAATGGGCTGTAATAAAAAAAACAACAAAACCAAAACACTCCTTAAATGGATAACTTAAGTAGCCCGTTCACACAGGAAATCCTGATTAGCTGTTATTTGCAAGAGAAATGAAATCACGGATTCAGAAGTAGTGCAGGAATTATGCTAAATAAAGTGAAACTACTCCAGGGATAGAACAGTCTTGGTTATTATAACAATAAATGACCCAGTCCAACCTTATAAACAGGAAATGTGGCATCCTGCTGCCAAGGAAGGCAATCTGATATAAAACAACTATAATAATCAAATTTTGTGTCTCAATAGATGGTAATACAGGCTGGTTCTTCCATAAATGAAGAGAGTCATCCTAAATTAGCAAACTGCTAATCCGTTGGCTCTGGAACACAACGGATTAAAGATATCGATACACAAGATTCAGTTCTTTACTGTATTCTAGACACAAGTCTTTATCCGCTAAATTAAGAATTTTTTAAATTCACTAGGGAAAACAAAACTTTTAAGACAAAATATCCAAATTATTAAAAGGCTCAAAGTGAGGTACAGGGACAGTACATTCACCAGAAAAAAAACAGCATAACCCCTTAAGAAGCTGATTTGTGCAAAATTCGTCATCATATGCTCTTTCTGAAGCTCTGCCTCCCTCTAGTGTCCCCAGCGAAGTATTGGCAACCCAGAGAACCATGTACATCGGCAGCCAACTAGGGTCTTTGTGGTACTGGAGGGAATATTTCTTCTTGTGGAGGAGCTTTTCCATAAGATGGATTTTATCTGAAATAAAGCTTTGATAGAATCCTTGCTGCCTCTTTGAATATATTTATCTAGCAATATTAGACTATATCTTTATTTTTTTTTATTGTTTTCACACTGAGTTATATAGGTTTTATGCTGTGAGTGTCCAGCATATTTGAAATTTGTAAGTGTCCTTTTATTCTTTTCACTCTGAGGGAGAGAATTGAATTGTGCACACATCTTAAAGCGGCACTGTCATGCCGAACTTACCTTACTTTCCTCTTCTCTCCCTCTGTCAGGATCTGTTCTTCATTTCTTCCTGTCTTCTGTAGTTTTCTTTAAAACATAAGACAAATTCGTGACTTGTGACAAATTTGTGAGCAAAGTGTGCTTCGTTTCCGGTGAACAAAGCAATTTTCACACAATTCTCACCTTTGTTTCGTGATCTCGCAACGCTTCCTGTCAGTATTCCCAAACGTCCTGTCACTTAGACGGCGAAACTACAGAATTTCATCCTAACAGTCTCTCTATTCGTTTTAGGACGCAATTTGGGACTTTGTTTGGATCGGAATTTCATTAGAATGAATGAAACTCCAATACTAATCGTGGCGCAGCTGCGGTCTTTCAGCCAAATTTACTAATACTAAGTAAAGATTACTTGGTGTTAGTAAATTCTGCCCCTACTCGCTATACCGTGAGTGGGGACAAGTGTAGTCAACCTCGCTGGGTGCAGATGGATTATTATTTTTTTGATTGGAATTTTTTCGTCATATTTTTTTATTTGCGCTTGGTTTTTTTAAATTTTATTTTCAAAGTGGGGTATTATGGACTTTTACTTGGCTTTTTTGGGGGCTGGAAAAAGATAATTTTAGAAAAAAGACGACATCAAATGGTAAGTTTTTTTTTTTATTATTATTATTTATTTTGTTGTGCTGTTGCTAGCTTAATGATCAACATTCAGAGACATTTGTAGGCACCCAGTAACATTACACATTTTCTATTAAAATATATTATGAATATAGTAAAATAAGTCAGCCAGTGACCCCTGTGTGGATGTGATAAGAGTGTGAGTCTCCAGTTTAGGCGATAACCACAGAGGGTTTACATGTTGCCCATAGACATGCCCAAGATGTGAGTAGTGTAGAAGGACCTTTTACCCGGCGGGGGGGGGAGGGAAAGGCAATCGAGTGTGGTTACTTGGCACTGAGGTGCTTTTAGCATTAGTTACCAAGTGGTATAGCTTCCTCTTATTGTGCTTGCATATGAGACTACTTGGAGTAACAGGATATTAGGCTAATAAACTTTGCAAGTAAAGTAAGGTTAGCAAAAAATAAAAATATTTATACATAAAACAAAATCTCTAACTGTGGCAGACATGGTGGAATTCAGAGTCCCATTGGGTGGGTCAGCCTCTGCTTCCTCAGATGGGTGGTCTGGTAGGGGAGGCTCCTTAGTTTCCTCTTGGGGTAAATTCCCGAATGGTTGCCAGCTTCAGCTCGGACAGGCCTGTTCCAAACGGCGGTAAGACCTGCAGTATACCCATTGATTTTAGGTGCGATTCTAGCTCTGGATATCCCTGAGCTCTGTGGGAAGTCCCGTTATGTACAATACAGCTTGTGGTGTCCCCCAGTTGTAGGGAATTTCTCTGGCACAAAGGTGTTGCAGGAGAGGCCGCAATGATTTCCGCTAGGTTAGGGTGCTCTTGGTGAGGTCTGGGAAGACTGTTTGTGAGGAGCCCTCGAACAGTAGGTGGGGGAGGTTTCCCACGCAGAACCGCCAGGAGTGAGGCTTTATCTGAGAGGGCTTGAAATCTAAGAATGAGGTCTGCAGTCGCCTACGCTCTAGCTGGCTAAGGTAGCCGGAACATACCATTCAGCTTCAAGGATTTCACCTGCTTTGGTGGGAGCAAGACTCCAAAGAAGCGCGCTATGTAGTGGGGTAGGTCAGCGATGTCAACCAACTCAGGTATCCCCCGAACTTTCAGGTTGTAATGCCTTCTCTGGTCTTCTGTAGCATCAAGTCTATCTGATATGGCAATTTGCTGCTGTGCCAGGTCTGTTACCTGCTGTTCCACCTTGGTAAGTCTGGTGTCGTGAGTACTTGAGCAGGCCTCCAGCTGTGAAATTTTTAGTGCGGCCCCTTCAATGGCCTCTTTTTAGCAGGCCATGTCTGCTGCCAGGTCTTTGCGGAGCTCCGCCAGCATCTTTTTAAGTTGGTCTGCAGTGACTGGGTCTCCGGTTTTCTGTGGTTCTGGTCTGCGATCTGGCATGGGCCCAAAGGATGTTCCTTCCAAGAGGTCCGAGGCAAACACCTCCGAGGCCTATGAAGAGAGGTCGTCGGCCAGCGCCATTTTGGACTCCGCAGCATGTCTCCTATATCCCTGCCATGGGAGCTTTTGCTTTTTTTTCCTTTTGCCTTATGTTTTAAAGAAAAACTAGAGCAGACAGGAAGAAATGAAGAACAGATCCTGACATTGGGAGAGAAGAGGAATCGATTAAAGAAAGGTAAGTTCGGCTTGACAGTGCCACTTTAAGTGTCTTCCATCAGCATTTATAGCTTGATGCACGTTATCTGTTTGAACTATTGCATTTTATTTTAAAGACAAAGGGCACCTGTTTAGAAATTTTGATGTTTTTGAGTGTAACTTATGGGCTATTGCACTTTGTAGGTGCTGCTATACCTGCACAAAAAAAAAAATGTGTTGCACAAATTATACTGTATTTTATTGGTTTTAAATAAAGTAATTTTATTCATTAAAATTTTAAAGGACCTGCCCGACAACCCACACAAACGCCACAGAATTTATTTTACAAGCCATTTATTTAACCCTAAACTTTACAAGACACCATGGAACCATTGATTCAATGCATCTCTATGAGGAGATGCTGATTGGCATAGCATTTTGCAATTTATGCACAATAGCCTCCCAATGCTTTTCTATGGAGATTATTGGATGGCTTAATTTCATCAATTTTGATGATCTCAGCCAAGGAGACAGTGCCAGCCGTGACAGGGGGCTAAAGTGTTTAGAGCAGGTTTCCCCAAACTCCGGCCCTCCAGATGTTGCTGAACTACAACTCCCATGAGTATATGAATAAAATAAGCTTTGAATCATGGGAGTTGTAGTTCAGCAACATCTATAGGGCTGGAGTTGGGGGAAGCCTGGTTTACAGTGTTCCTTTCCCGAATTTATCTGCAAAGCACTTACCATCTGGAAGTTCTCATGGAGACTGACAAAGCTATTCACTAAAAATGAAGAGAACTGAAAATGAATTTAAACTTAAGGCCAAAGTAACCAAATAGTAAGCATAACAGAAGCATTTCAATTCAGCTATATTACTTTGAATTCTCACATTTGTGAATAACCCTGTAAATCTTAATTTCATATTAAAATGTCTAGGGCTGTGGATCTGTTTACAAACCATTGATATTTAACAGATATTCTAAAATGTCTTCAGTGTTGGGGGTGTGGGACTGTTAATGCACTGGGTAACCTACTGCAGGGGTGCCAAAGAGGTAGATCCCCAGATGTTGTAGAACTACAATTCCCACTATGCTATGCATGCCTTTAGAATGACAAAGCTTAATGGCAGCCGCAGTTTTAAAACATCTGGGGATATACCTTTTTTGAAATCCTGCTCTTACACACTTCAAGTTGCTACGTACCAATCTTAATCAAGACACGTTGCATGTAAAATCTGGATACCTGTTGGGTAGCATACGGTGTGCACTTTCGTGCTTCTATGTGACCTGTTTTTAATCAAGCAGTAATGTCATGTTTAACCAAGCAGACATTTTGACATAAGTGTCCTTCCTTCATTATTGAAAAGATACCCAAAGGTAATCTACAATAGTAACAGAGAAAAACATAGTACAATAATGTAACAATTGTTAGTGAATAATTTGATAAGTAGTCACACTCACAAACCAATATTGATTGTAGGCATATCATAAAGTTGTGGAAGCCTCAAGACAAAGAAAATAGTGCAGAGTATCTTAATAAAATGACACTTTAATATACACCCTGTTCCAAATTATTATGCAAATTCTATTTAAGTGTCACAAAGATTAAATATTTTGTTTTTCAGTTTAACTCATGGATAGCATTGTGTCTCAGGGCTCTTTTGATCACTGAAAACAATCTCGGACACCTGTGATAATTAGATTGCCAGGTGAGCCCAATTTAAGGAAAAACTAAAGGAGGATGTTCCACATTATTAAGCAGAGCACCATTTTCATGCAATATGGAAAAGGGATCTCTCTGCTGCTGGAAAGAGTGAAATAGTTCATTGCCTTGGATGAGGTATGAAAACATTAGATATTTCACGAAAAAAGTGTGATCATCGCACTATTAAGAGATTTGTGGATGATTCAGAGCACAGACGGGTTCGTGCAGATAAAGGCACAATGAGGAAGATTTCTGCCAGATCCATGCATCGGATCAAGAGAGCAGCTGCTAAAATACCATTACATAGCAGCAAATAGATAGTTGAAGCTGCTGGTGTCTCTGGAGTCCCATAGACATCAAGGTGTCGAGTCCTCCAGAGTCTTGCAACTATTCATAAACCTTCCATTCGGCCACCACTAACCAATGTTCACAAGCAGAAATGGCTGCATTGGGCAGAAAAATACATGAAGACTAATTTTCAAACAGTCCTGTTTACTGATGAGTGCCGTGCAACCCTGGATGGTCTAGATGGACGGAGTAGTGGATGTTTGGTGGACGGCCACCCTGTGCCAACAAGGCTGCGACTTCAGCAAGGCGGTGGTGGAGTCATGTTTTGGGCCTGAATCATGGGAAGAGAGCAGATCGGCCCCTCTAGGGTCCCCGAAGGTGTAAAGATGACCTCTGCAAAGTATGTGGAGTTTCTGACTGACCACTTTCTTCCCTGGTACAGAAGGAAGAACAATGCTTTCCGTAATAAAATCATCTTCATGCATGACAATGCACCATCTCATGCTGCAAAGAATACCTCTGCATCAATGGCTGCTATTGGGATAAAAGGAGAGAAAGTCATGGTGTGGCCTCCATCCTCCCCTGACCTTAATCCTATTAACCTTTGGAGCATCATCAAGCAAAAGATCTATGAGGGTGGGAGGCAGTTTACATCCAAACAGCAGCACTGGGAGGCTATACTGACATCTTGCAAAACAAATTCAAGCAGAAACTGTCCAAAAACTCACAAGTTCAATGGATGCAAGACTTGAAGCTGCAATCAAATAAGGGGTCCTATGTTAAAATGTAACGTGACCTGTTAAAATGTTTAAAAAGTTAAAATGTGGTTATAAGTTTGATTGAAATAGCTTTTGATTTCAGTAAATGTGCTGCAAACACAACAAATGACAATTTTCAGTTCTTTACAACCTAGAAAGTGTTTTGAAACTTACTGTGTGTAATAATTTGGAAGTGCACTGTAAGTTTATGTTTAAAAAATAAAAATACTGTTATCATTAAGTTTGTTCAATAAAATTTGAATTGTACTCTTAATAGTTGATAACATGAGAATTATGCTGTTATTTACATAAATTATTTAGGTAAATGAGAAAAATATCATTTGCATAATTTGGAACAGGGTGTAAAGGCACACTTACAAGATTGAAGTAGCAAATAGGCACATCATAAAATATTCTGGTCACAGGATCAGGAAAACCAGAGAACATAAAATAAAATATTAGCAGAAAACAAAAACTCTGTACACTATGAAGCAGCCCTACGAGTTTCATTCAGTATCCTTTGAACTTCCTCAGAGGCATATAATGAAATTCCTTCTAAGGATACTGATCAAAACACGTAGGGCTACTTCATAGTGTACAGAGTTTGTTTTCTGCTAAAACAAATTTATGTTCTCTGGTTTTCATGATCCTGAGATCCTGTGACCGGAATATTTTATGTGATGTGTATTTGCCACTTCAGTCTTGTAATTGGGCCTTTATATTTAAAAAGTGTCATTTTATTAAGATACTCTGCACTATTTTCTGTTTCCTTCTATATCTGCCATGATGTTCCACAAGTCTTGAGGCTTCCACAACTTTATGATATGCTAATAATCAATAGTGGTTTGTGAGTGTGACTACTTATCAAATTATTCACTCACAATTGTTACATTATTGCAGTTTTTCTCTGTTACTATTGTATTGTAGATTACCTTTGGGTATCTTTTCTATATTGCATTGAGGACTGAGAGGAGTCCTGATCTACAGTACAAGGGTAATTGCTGTGAATTTTCTATCTAGTGTGTGTTTTATCCACTAATAGGTTTATCTGTATACATTATATTTGTTTTAAATGATTTTTCATTTTGTGTGCAAAATGATATAGACATAAAACAGGTTTGAATAATTAATGCACAGTTGCCTACGCAAAGGCATAGCATGTCAACCAAAAGTAAGGCACATTACAAAATTCTCATCAATTCTGCCATGGGTAATGGCAAGCTATTCGCACCATCTGAATATCCAGTCTGTGTGTGCATGCAGCAAGGTTTTGTGCTAAATCTTACTCGTATTGTGTGCACTCAGTAAATCATGCATAGGAGATGTACTGAAATATTGTGTGGAGCAAAGAAAGCAAAATCATAATAATGCGTAGTTGTAGTAAACAGATACAACTTATGTGATATAGCAGTCAGATAGAAATGGGTGCAGTTTGACAGCGTCTAACTAGGAGTAAACAAGTAGGTCAGCTGCAACCTTTGCACGTTATACCTTATCTAGGTTATGCCTATCTGAGCGAGAGATAAAACTTGCAGCAGAATTGTATGTGTAAATGAGATATACCGTTGTTCCGTGGCAAACTAGCATGGTTCAAAAATATACAGCAGGGTACAGTGGTATAGAGAATGACCTCTGGGGGCAACAGCTCAATAAATCTTAGAAGAGTGCAGTTTAACAGCGTCTGACTAGGCCTAAACATGTAGGTCAGCTGCAATCTTTGCGCATTACAGGATATCTAAGTTATGCCTATCTTGGCAAGAGATAAAACTCGCAGCAGACTTAATTGTATGTGTGTATAAGATATCCCGTTGTTCCATGGCAAGCTAGTATGGTTCAAAAAGTAGACAGCAAGGAACAGCGGTATAGATTATTACCTCTGGGGGCAACAGCTCAATAGATCTTAGATGAGTGCGATTTAACCGCGTCTAAAGCAGTAAGATAATTAGCTAGATCTTAGCCTGAAGTATATGCGCTGTTGCCTACGCTGAATTTTGTCTGTGCAAACTAGATGGGGGAAATTACAGTTTACGTCCCTTCTCTACGTACAATTTAGGAAAATGCAGTGTTGTAATGGGAGAGCATATGTGGGCAGTAACGTTTGGGATGACTGTCTAGGGGAGTAGTGCCATTTTGATAGTGCACTCAGTGATTTCGATATGGGTAATAGTAGGCAGTATGCAGCAGCGAGACATCTAAGGTTGGAGCTAGATCTTAAACTTAGTTTATGCGCCAGTGGTATAGTATTACTTCTGGCTGCAGCAGCGTGATTTGAAGGCAATTAACTGCAGTGCACAAACATAACCTAAACATTCCATAAATTCTTTGAGTACGTGGATATATAGGTTATCTAACTATATAATAAATGCAAGAGTATAAATGAGAAACGTTAACGCTAAACAGCCATGTTGATCTGCATGGCCGTCTGAGGGGAGACTCTCACGGCACTGCTACCATACTGTCCCTGGGTCGCCAATCCTCCTTCCGTCTTACCCATGCAGACCTCTGCGGCACCGTGGCATTATATTTGGTTATTTATATTCTTCCTTCATTATTAAATAGTTAAAGCAGCATTAGAGAAGTTGGCCTCGTTATCAGGGATAAAAATTAATTTCATACTTACAGTAATTTTTTCCCCTAGTCTTTTGCCATGGAAGCATCAGTCCTGATCAAGTATTTCTATCAGAAAGTATGGTCAAGACATGCACCATTGTACTTGTCTCTGCTGAACTGGTTCTGTTCAGTGTATTATACAAGTGGTAATACGGGTGAGAATCCTTTTGTTTTATGCACTTATCTTCACTTCAGGAAAAACATTTAACCACAATATTTGCTAAGTTCAGTAAGGTTTTGTCATGTATAAATAGGGGCATGAATTCTCGGGATGAAAATATAATTTTGCCTCTTTATAAATCGCTGGTAAGACCACACCTTGAATATGCTGTGCAATTTTGGGGCGCCTGTTTTAAAGAAAGATATCATGGCACTAGAAAAAGTGCAGAGACTAGCTACAAAATTGATAAAAGGAATGGAACATTTTAGTTATGAAGAAAGGTTAAAAATGTAAATCTCTTTAGTTTTGAAAAACGGCACCTGAGAGGGGATATGATAACATTATACAAATATATTCGGGGCCAGTACAAACCTTTATCTGGAAATCTATTCATAAACAGGGCTTTACATAGGACACAAGATCACACATTTAGGCTGGAAGAAAGATTTCATCTAAGGCAAAGAAAAGTTTTTTTTACAGTAAGAGCAATAAGGATATGGAATTATTTGCCTGAAGAGGTGGTTTTGTCAGTCATTACAGATGTTTAAACTGCAATTGGATAAATACTTGCAAAAACATAACATACAGGGATATAATTTCTAATTAGTCTAAGGAGACACCTGACTGCGGTTTTGGGGTCAAGAAGGAATTTTTTCCTAGGTTGTGGCAAAATTGGAAGCACTCCAGACTAGGTTTTTTGCTTTCTTTTGGATCAACAGCAAAAACATATGTGAGGAAGGCTGAACTTGATGGACGCAAGTCTCTTTTCAGCTATGTAATTATGTAAATATGTAATATCTTGAGAACAAATCAAGTGTCTTAGAGGCAAGTCTGTACATTTCTTTTAATTATATGCTTCAGTTTGTTTGGCATTGCATTTAGACCAGGCCTTGGTTTACACATGTGAATGTTAGCAAGGTCCATGATTCAAAGTAATACACGTGGTTAAAAGATTCACCAAATATTTGGTAAACGCATACTTAGATGCGAAGATTCAAATTGGGTAGCTTTAACCACAATTTACACAGGTTGCCTGATAAAATGTATGCCAGTCTTAGGCCCATAAGTACTTTATTGCAAATTGCAATGAGATCCCTTACCACAGTCATTACCAAGAGTGGCTTCTTAGAAGAAAAACAAAAAAACAACAGTCCAAAATACATTAAGTATTTAGCCTAACGTGGCAGTATAGACCCTATTTTGGGTCAAGATTTGTTTATAATTTGTTGCTATAGAACTCTATGACCTTTAATGACAACTTTTTGTTTTGTCTGTTGTGGGTGGAGGGAAGTTTTGTTTCCAATTAAAAGGAAATGAGATAAATGAGACTACTTTGTGTATGTCTAATAGTTTGGTAGCTTCACATTTATTTCACTTCAATAGCAGTGCATAAAGAGGAACAATTACTTTGAAAAGTGACAGTTCCTCCCTACTGCACTACAATTGCTTGTGAAAAATACAGCGATACATACATGCACAGGTGATCACTTTCAGGGTTATTTGCTAAACTGAGGATTCAAAGTGACTTCCAAATTTAAGGGAAAAATAGTAACCCTGGAATAATTCAAGTCCGCTATGCTTTCAGTTCAGATACTTTGCTCCTGTATTTGGAATCCACAATTTTTACTTTAGTACATAACCCGGGTTGTCTCACGATACACATTCTCTGTCAAAGGGAAAAAGTGCTATACAGGCAGTCCTCACTTACTGACCAGGTTCCGTTTGTCTGGCTTGGTCGGTAAGTGAAGATGTGCGCTAGTTAGCATGCACAAGACAGCAGATCTATGCTCGGGTGAATTAACACAAAAATAGACCAGTTCACTGGCGCAGAGAATCCCGCAAGTTATGTTCGGTGAAACATCCCCCAAAATAGACTAGCTCAAAAGCGCAGGGAATCTCTGAAATCTGTTCTGGGAAAATTTCCCAAGCATAGACCAGCTCTCTAATGTGGGGAATCCCTTAAATCCCCATGCTATGGAGTTGGTCATAAGTGCAAGCAGTCGTAAAACAGGTAGGTCGTAAAGTGAGGACCACATGTATAAGCAAATGCTTGGTCACTCCCTCAACAACGCTGTTAGGGTACAGCCTATGCTCAGGTGTCCATACTGTTTGTCATTTTTTTTTTTTTTTTTAAATGGTGCAACCCAGCAAAAAACACAGGATGATCGCTTGTGGACAGTTCATTTTATTATTTCTAAAGCACATTCTAAAACATAACTTCTAAACTGTCACAAGGACCACAACACATTTTCACAAACTCTAAAAGACTGTGCCCCATCGCTTTGCACCTCTTTTTCTGAAGAGCTAAGAATAGACCTTTTGACAGGGAGCCTTAGAACGGGCACCACGGATATATTAAGAGCATCAGCTGACCGTCTCACCCTATCACTAGGCACGCATCTTCCAGAATTTGGGAGTTAAACTATTCATTATTGGTTTAACCCCTTAAGGTATGATGGCATCCAGGACCTCCTTGCACAATTCATTGCAATGACGTTATGGTGCACAACGTGTCCCTTTAAACTTTTTTTTAAATATAGACAGTTATGTTATCTCTTACTTTGACAACTCCATCGTACACAATGAAACATGGAGGGCAATGGGAGTTACAGGATCATATTTAGAAGAAAACACTTAAGCTGATGTGGAATAAAGTACCCAGAGGTAATTTTAAAAACAATCTGACTGGTACATGAGCCATTACAAGTCTCACCAAGTGTTAAGCAGCAGTCTATGTTAACGGAATTATTTTTAGCGTTCCACTGTAACGGATTATGTAAAATCATTTAATATAACCTAAACCAGGATAAGTCCAAATTACTTAGTTGATTGTAGATTGCTCTTTAGGGATTTTCTACACACAGTTACAGGGCCTTTACCCATGCTATCAGAATAATAATACCATGATAGGATAAACCAAAAAGCCATTTACAACTTTGATTTTGACGTCTGAATTAAGAAGTTCTATGCAACACCTTTGTGAATTCAGATTAGCACATCCAATTGGATCATTAATTTTTAAAAAGTGTAGTTTGTTTTGGACAAGTAAAGGATGGCATAACCTTTTCCATTTTGCACTTAAACATCACTCTTTAATTAGCAAGACTTGGGGAGAAAAAAAAGCTTTATAAATTTTAACAAAAACTCTAATTTAGCTTGATCAGCTACCAGAAATAAAATGTTTACAAAAATAAATTAAAAAAAACTACCCCTGTGTAATCCCAAAAGGCTTCTTGGGGCCTCCCTAGTAAATTGTGGTTTTGAAGTATTGGTGTACTGTTTGTTAGCCAGTTGGAAGGTTCTCTCTCACTTCCAAACAATAGGTAATTTCCCTGGTGCTTCAATAATAGAGGTATTTTACTGATGTGTATACTTTGGAGTGACTCAGACACACTCATGTCCCATTGATACCAATTATTTGAAGGGCTCTTTCCCAAATTATAGAATTAAAGTAAATACCAATCTCACATTCAAGAGCACCTTTACATACGGAGTCTTGGAAAATGAATACATAGTAACCAATAAAGCTAAATTGTAGGATTTTCAAGTTTGTTCAAGTATAAAATCTTTCCCCCTGGTTTAGAGAAATAGAACCATGTTTACGTACATAAATAGGATGAGTCACAAGAGATATATCCCTCAGTTTAAAGTACAGTTTTGAAACCATGATCTGTTGAGCTCATAAAGCAATATCAATTTCACTATGTGGAGTATTCACTTAAAAGGGAATGTACACTGCTACCAGGTGAACAAAGGAGACAATAGATAAGAGATTTAAAGGGACACTATAGTCACCAGAACAACTACAGCTTAATGTAGTTGTTCTGGTGAGTATAATAGCTCCCTTCAGGCATTTCAATGTAAACACAGCCTTTTCAGGGAAAAGTCAGTGTTTAAATTGCCCCTAGGGACACCTCCAAGTGGCCACTCCTTAAATGGACACTGGAGGTGCTTCCTGGCTTAGGGCTGCACAGTATGCTCTGCATGGGGACGCTGAATTTTCTTCATAGAGGTGCATTGATTTAATGCATCTCTGAGGAGGTGATGATTGGCCCTGCCCCCATGCCGATTTTAGCCAGTCCAATGCTTTCCCCCATGGGGCGGGGCCAGCGGACCAGACCCATGGAGAGTTGAAAGGTAAGTTTTAACCAAATATGATGGAACTTAAGAGGTGAGGGGTAGGGGGAAATGGGAGGGTCAGCAGCCATGTAAATTGTGGGTTTTCACTATAGGGTCAGGAATACATGTTTGTGTTACTGACCCTATAGATATCCTTTAAAGACTTATTTTGTGTTTTTATTTTCAGCTGTCATGAGAATATAAACTCACGGTCACTGCACTGCAGCTGTTCCTCATCTTCTGAGTTTATACTGAATAATCTCAGGCAAATTGTAATGGTTCTCACAGAGTAGCACTGAGGCCTTACTGGGCAGTGACTCTCTGGCAGCCACTAAAGGTACACAGACTGAGTACACACTGTTTCTCAGAATGCAGTGGCAGAATCTAAACACCAGTAGTTTTAGTACTTGATGTCCCTTTAAGGTGAAATTTAATTACCATAACTATTTACAATTAAAGGTGGGCCCCACAGACGTGTGCCCTAGTAGGACAACACATTAAAAAACAGGTTTACGTTTTATTTTTATTCTTGGAATCTGGCTACTCTGACTTGATTTCTTATTACTGCAACAGATTGCCAGATTTTTTAGCATGAAAACACACAGAAAGTACTATTATCTCATAGTATAACAAATTATTTACAATCCTCCAAAAAACAGAGGCAATAATGAAACAAAATTTTAAATGTAGAAATTTACCTTTGTTTAATCCACAAGCTTTAAACAACTTATCTTGCGAAAAAAGAAAACCCAAAACAAAAAATAAAAAAATGGACATTACAATATCCAAAGTCCAGGACACTCCTTAAGAGCAGTAACAAAAGTGGAGAGATGTACCCAACTGACAGGAGACAAAGATTTGTGCAACTTTTTGGAACAAAGGTAACTTGATGCCTCTTAAAACACCCCACCCAAAAAACAGAAACCCCCCAAAACAAAATCACCCTAAATTCCAGTGTTCCAAATTAGGGTTGTATAAGAAATAACCAACATTCTGGCATACCAGCTGATCTCTAGTCTAGATCCAGGGATAAGGTTTTTGTAATCTTAAAAGCAAGTATAACATAATCCCAATTATATTGTTCTAGCTGTATTGATACCTCCTGAAGGACCAATGAGATATGCACTTTGTTATCAGAATAGTAATCACTTGGTATGCTCTTCACACAGATTATTAAAACAAACCAAAAGTCTGTACAATTTTTATTCAACCTGGGAAATCCGTGGCATATTAACGGTGGGAAAATAAACATTTCGGAGATTAGCCATGTACATGCAGAGGGGAGCAACATATACTCATTGCTTCAGAAGTTTTACAAACTGGCCCCTGCCTTGCGAATCAAAATCCTCCCAAGAACTACATATGAAATGAGTCAATAATACCACTTAGCTCTGAAAGACATGGCAAAACTTCAACCTAATTACAAATGGTAAACTGTAAAAGTTCAAATGCATTAACAGCCTTCTGAAAAAAAAACAGAAGGGGGGGAGGGGGGAGAATACAAACAAAATAAATGTACATTGTAGCAAATAGGCAGAACTAGGACTGAGGAGAAACCTGCGCTTTTCTCATGGAACGCAGAGCCTTCTCTCGTAAATGCTTCTCCAAATCGTCCAGATTTCCTTCTCCGTCACTTTCAGTCTCCTGGTGGGGGAAATGTATAGGATTTTTGTTTAGGGAGGTACACGCCCGGCATCAGCAGAATTTTTATTACGCTGCAGCGGAAGACAGAAAAGGAGGCAGAATAGTGATTGGCGACCAAAATTAGTGGTAATGGGAGGCCTATAGATCCCACTTTTCAGATTATGTATGGAAAACAAATGACGTTTCGTAAACATGCCGACTAGTCTAGTGTTTACATAACGTCAATTTTAATGACTGGGGTGTACGCAAATTTAGGGCGCTGGATTCAACTAGAAAGGACAAATTGCCAACACTAAAATATGATCCTCCCTCACCTTCTTTGCTTCAGTGCCTGCATCCTGTTCACCTGTTTCAGGAGAAGCAGCAGCTGCGGATGTTTTTTCTTTCTTGTGTTTTTTGTGCTTCTTGTGCTTCTTCTCTTTCTTATGTTTCTTATCCTTTTTCTTCTTCTTCTTCTTTCCACCACCTTCTTGATCAGATGTCTACAAAAGTAAACCGGAAGAAAGGCACAAATTTTTATACAGAACGGCTGTGTTGAAAAATATTTCAAAGCTTTGCAATAATCCTTTTAGATGTTTGTATTATAAATATTGCCTAATCAATAAATGTATAGAAACTGCATACTCAATACGGTCTTAAAAAATAAATAAATAATTGTATTTTTTTTTATAAGACATTAAAAGTGAAGATGATAGTCTAGCTGTTTGTTTATACAATATATAGCTTGCACTGTAGGAGCATATACATCAGAGCACTATCACTTTTGTTTAATTATGTCATGGCATTTTTTTTTAAAGTTTCATTTATTGAATTATATAATATTTACAATGCTCTTAACAGATAATACACGTTTGCTTATTTAGCACCATTTAATTTGTCTCCCATGTTTGAATTCGTGTAGTAACCACCAATATTGGGGTACTGTGAAGTAGTGGGGGGCTTAGCACAATATGGCGATATGGTGGAGCTGAATCCCCATATTTGTTTGCCGAGGTAGGGGATTTTGAGTAGTCTTGTAAAATGTTAACATTCATTTTTATGTATTCGAAATGCAAGTTTCGGATGTGCTCTCAAAGCCTTTTTGTCTTTACAATGCAAGTTTGGAATCCAGAACAGATTCCTTTTGGGGTTAAGCACCTCTCTTAACCCCCAGGTTCAGAGGCCCCTTTGGAGGTAACCACAGGTTTATATTTGGGATTTTAATGTCACTATAATTTTCATAAAGTAGATATATGATAATTGTGAGTAAATACATTAAAGCACTATCACTTTAATGGTTTCGTTTTGACACTGCATTTTTTTGGACTCACCACATTTATTGCATTATATATATTCATGATGCTGTTACAACAGATTATCCTACACTTTTGCTTATATAGCACTACAACTATTTAATTTGTCTCCCACGTTTGAATTTGTGTAGGAACCAATATTGGGATACTGTGAAGGAGTGCTGGGCTTAACACAATATGGGCATATGGTGGAACTGAATCCCCTTATTTGTTTTGTAAGATATGTGATTTCAGTAGCCTTATAACATTTTAAAATGTATTTTTATGTGTGCACTGTTCCTTAATCTGTATTATGCATTGTAGGAACTGTCAGAATCTGTGTAAGTCATTTGGGTAAGGTGGGGCTGCATGTACGTCTTTCTTGTCCATTTCCTCAGGTTAAGTAGCAGGTGGTATGCAGTGCTGTTTAGCCTTGGTTAGTAATGCAAGAGTTTTTATAAATTTTTTAAATTACAAATCTTGCGATATACGGATAAACTCAAAAGATCAAAGATTGACAAGTAGCCTGGTTATAAAGCAGCGACAAAAGAAAGCATACCTGAGCTGGAGATGGACTAGGAGTACTACTCCTTGCTTTCTTTGCAGGTGCAGGAGACCAATTGCCAGACTGAGAGCGTGATCTTGTTGGTGATGGAGGCACCTGTTTTTTAGGTGCTGGCTCAGGGGATCTAGATACAGATCTGGATGAAGATACTCTTCTAGCAGGTTGTGGACTTGGAGAATCACTAATAGATAAAAGAAGACCGTATTATAAATATAGTGTAAAGTAATGAACATTAAACATTAAAGGATCACTATAGGGTCAGGAACACAAATATGTATTCCTGACCCTATAGTGAAAACCAACCATTTAGGGGCTTTACATGAAAATGCCGGAAGGGAGCTATTATACTCACCAGAACAACTACATTAAGCTGTAGTTGTTATGGTGACTATAGTGTCCCTTTAAGGTAGGCAATGAAATTAAGAATAATTTTGGATCATGCTTTTAAAATTTTATGTCCTTGAACAGCACAAATGTTTAAATAAAAAAATGAAAAGTTACTTTTTGGTTTTCATCGGTTCTGGAGTCCTGGACACCCTTCTGATGGGACGAGTTGGAGAAGATTCCTGCCTCCGTGGGGGAGATGATGACGGACCCCTTCTTTGTGTAGGTGGACTTTCAGAACTGCGAGCAACTCTCGCATGTGGTGATGGAGACAGTCGTTTTGTCTGTGGTGGTGGTGGTGGTGAACGTGCTTCTCTGACTTGCCTAACTGGTGGAGATCCTCTTCTGTGTTTGGAGGGCAGGGATGGGGAACGTCTTTTCCCTTGAGGAGAGCCTTTCTGTTTGGGAGGTGGAGAGTGAGACAGCCTGTGCTTTGTTGGAGGTGGAGACTGAGAGGATCTACGCTTTGGAGGTGGTTGTGGAAGGGGTGGAGAGGTTCTTCTTTTGGGTGGGGGTGAAGGGGAATAGCGTCTTTGAATTGGCGGGGAGTACCGTCTTTGAGACGGAGAATGTCTACGAGAGGGAGAAGATGGTGATCTGCAAGAAAGAAAAAATGCAGAATAACTTAAGTACTGGAGATATACAAGTGTACACTACATAAAAATATCAAATAATCTATAAAACTTGTCCAAAGGAACTTTTATTTTTCCTTAATAAAGCACGAACATGACAAAATAAAAGCAATATAGGTAGTGATGTAAGACAGTTGAGTGACCAGAACAACAGCAGACCCACCCCAATTACATTTCATTTTAATATTTGTTTCCACATAAGTTATTAAACAGTGCGCTCTTTGACAGTCTTCTAACCAGACTGGTGTTGCCTATGTTGCACTGCCAACTACTCAATGATTCATGATAGACTAATACTACCTCCACACTAATCACTGGTCTGTATGATAAAACTCAATCTAAGCAATGGTTCTTAAAGGATTAAAGGGACACTCCAGTCAGCAATACAACAAATGCATTTGATAGGTTTTGATCTCTATAATTTGTTGTATTTCATTGCATGTTCAAATTTGTTTTTTTTTGCACAAAATGCAGAATGCTGTTCTGACTGACTAGTGTGTATCAAATGTATGCACACCGGTTAGCCTCCAAAAGCAATGAGTGAGCTGCTTCTAATTCACAACTTGGCTGCAGTCAGAGAAACAGGCAGTGATCACTATTTTTATGGTACAAGGAGGTGCTAGCACCTTAGTGCGATCTCAGAGGTAGACTTAGTCAGATGTAGCTGAATATATAAAAGAAAGAATACAACAAAATATAGTGCAGTATATTCTGTATAAAATAGTTCATAGTAAGAAGTGCACTTACCAAGTATAGAGCTCGAGTAGCTCTATGTAGCACCCGGCGGTATGATCTCTTTTATATATCCAACTACCACTGAGACTACATCTACCATCGGGATCAGACCAAGGCACTTCCCCCTCCTACCAAGTTATCTCTACCTCCCCTAATTCAGATTTTTTTAGTTTGCAAGCCTTTTTTTTTTCATGGTAGGGGAGCAGGTTAATTGTGCAGCATTCTTCAAAACCTTTTTTTAATTATACTAAAGTTATAAAGCATGCAAAAAATAAAAAATACATCAAATTAAACTAACAGTCTTTCAGACACATTCGAGTTTTATTGATGCCAGACGTGTCCCTTTAAGTCAAAGAGTACACATTCAGATTGTACAGCAATGTTCATGTCAAGGTCCACTCACAAACCAAAAATCTCTGAAGTATGTAAGCTGCACTTTGAAAAACTGGAGTGAACAAGTAACTTGAATGCCATCAAAACAAGAATAATTAGTTGATTGTTACCTTCGTCTCTGTGGAGAAGGAGTTCGGCGTCTTCTCGGTGGAGGTAATGGAGAAGGGCTGCGACGTCTTCTAGCTTGAGGTGGAGTCGGACTCCTTCTCCTACGACTGCAAAAAGAAAAACAATTTATTAATAACATTAAAAATTGTTACCCATTAAGTGAACCTGCCATAACAAGTCAGGACTTGGCAATGGGCAGACTTTTAAACATCCTAAAGTGCTCATGCGGTCATACAAAGCGAACTTTATTACAACATAGGAGTAACTTAATATTCAGAATAATGCAGTATAGAATACATACAGGGATTCATTGTGAAAATAGTTAGTATTAACCAAAAACAAAGTGTTTATGACACTTTACTGTGACGGTTATATAGGGTATATATCTGTTGTATATAAGCACTGTGTTAACCAGGTCTTAATACTAGACAGTATTTCTTAAAAAAAACGCAGTAGTAGATCCCAGTAGGATTATATAGTTGCTCAGCAAGCAATATATGCATAATCTTGTTTTAACCATATCTTAACATGGGCAGAAATTGGTGATATAATTGCACTAGCCTATTGTCATGACATGAACAGGCTATATAAACCTATACATGCCAATAGGAGTCAGCTTACATGCCTGGGAGCCTACAGCAAAAGGGAAAGCTTAACGTGAACCAGCCATGACAGGTTCACTTTAAGCCTTAATAACTCATTAAGCAATATAGAATATATCATAATGATATGGTATAAATGCACAAAGAAAGGTTTATTTTCACCTTCACTAAATGCTGGCACTGCCATTATTGTGGGTTTTACACTTGAAAAAACATGTTAAGTCCACCCTCATCTCCACCTGCCTTCCAACCTCCTTTAACATGACTGGCCTACGTTGTGGAGGATTAGTTAATGGAACATTAGTGCCAGAACACAGTGACATAATGCAGTTCATTACTTTAGTCCCCACAACATGGTGACATGCTCTTGATGGTAAGATAATCACAGCTGCTACAGCACACGATCCACCTATCTTTAGCACTGAAGCTACACTGATGTCGATGCCAAAGAATAATTGGTAGGCGGGGAGGAACACTGGTTTTAATTAAAAAAATATCTAAATTCTATACATTTGCTAGCAATTCTATTAACAAAACTTAAAGATAAAATAGTGAGCTCTTTAAAATGAAGATACGTTGGGTGACAGGGTGATACAGGGTGACTATGAGTCTATAGTATTTAAAATTTTGAAAACATGTATGCAGTTTTCGTTTTGGTACATAAAAACAAAAACTAATCTGTATTTTGAGCTTCTGTTTCAGCATTATAAGGGACTCCAAAGAACATGTTCAACTTCTTTTATGAGTGAAGGACATCAACTAAAAGGGAATTTCAGAATATCAGACAGTATCTTACATCAAATATAAAACACAAATGTGATCTGCAAATATATTTGCATCTTGACTATGTGAAAGTTTAGTCTATGAATGCACTATTGAAAAAAGTAAACCTTAAAATATATTTTTTTGGGGTTGGAAGAATATGAACACCCATTAGAGGAAACGTCCTGGCATATACCGTGGTGAAGGTTCTTTTGGTCTCTTCCGGGAAGGGGTGGGGCTTCGTGAGGCTGAATGGCGTCGTCTCCTTCCAACTTCCCCATTTTTCACAGAGGCTCGTTTTGGACGCTCGTCCTCTGAAGAGGAGGATGATCCTGAATCTGAAAGTTAAGCCAGGTAGGTTCATATAAATCACATGAGATAATGTAAACTCAAATAAGACTTCTAAGCAAAACGATGTCCTTTATAAGAGAACTAGTCATGGGCAGCTGAACATTCAGTTATCTGAATATATTTTAGATAGTACATACAATTAAAAATATTAACAGAAAGGACTCATCTTGTCTGAGAGCGAAGTGACTGATAAAAATGGAAAATATGATATTGAAAAACACCCCAAAAAACAAGCCAGGAAGCTGAAGCCAGACATTTTAGTTATCTAATTAAAGGAGGAGAACAGTCATTTCTCTGGAAATTACACCACTGGAAAAACAACAAAACAATCCAATCCCCTTTTCACCCATAACTCATGTCAGAGGGACACTAAGTTTAGCTTAACTAAATTAAAGAGATTTGTTGTATAGATCATTCCCCTGTAGTCTCACTGCACAATTCTCCATTTAGAAGATCAATTGTTTGTCTATGTAGCCCTAGTCACACCTTCCTTGGCTGTAACTGACAGCCTACAAGAAACAAAAAATAGGGTTTCATTTTGAGATATTAACAAGTCGTTTATATCTCCTGATCTGTAAATTGAAGATACATTAAAAACTAAACAGAATGTGCAATAAAGGAACTTTAAACATTATAACTCACTTTACTAATAGTGTTTAGGAAGGCAGTGCAAGTCACATGCAGGGGTGTGTGACTAGGGCTGTATAAACAAAGTGATTTAACTCATAAATGGCAGAGAATAGAGCAGCAAGACTATAGGGGAATTACCTATGCATCAAAACTGCTTCATTAAGCTAGGTTTTTGTGGTCCCTATATTGTCCCTTTTAACCTTATTCATGTGATGCTTCATGCTCTCTTCAATGTATTTTAAATATTGAGAAAACTTCTGTATTTAAATTTTTCAGACTGCAAAAAGTAGACATTTTCAAATACATTGAACTAATCAACTGCTTATCAAACTATGGACAAACCAGTCTATTTGGTTATACATAGAAAATTATATAATGCCACCATATTCTGCAGCACTTTACAATTGGTAAATAAACTCTAGATTAACACAATATGACTGACATTCTGGAACAGTAAGTGAAGAGGACCTTCACAAACAAGCTTACAAATTAAAGATAAACAGGCATTTGATTTATAGTATGCCTATTTTCCTTCAGCATGGTATGGTCACTTTGGTCTATTATGTCAAGTTTAGTATCCCTGCACAATTATTTTTTGGCTTCTATCTGCATCCTTTTTCTAGTTTCACCTGAACAGGTAATAGCCACATGAGGTGTCAATCATGCAGCCTTGATGTTCGATTCCACTTTTACTGAGAATTTCTAATAAAAAGCAGAAATCCTAGACGTTTTAACAGTCAGCAATAAGAATCTATTTTCAGTACTTGAGTTGCATTATAAATTATATTCAGATTTGTTTACTCTTCTTTCATTTCTCACTTTTTATATTTGTATGTAATGCTTAATCCCCACATATAAAATGTCAAAAATATATCTATCAGTCTTTTGAAATATATTCTAAATATTAAATATGAGTAGATCAAGAAAACTGTGAAATTGCAGTGAACGACCAGTGTAAAAAGGTTTTTGTCACAAATTAATTGAATTTTAGAAAAGGCTCAGTCATCACTGGCTAAAACTACACAGAAATTGACTTTTTCCATTAAAAATATCAAGATGGCTTGCATAGCAACTTTACTGAATCAGTACCTGAAGAAGACTGCTGGTTCTGTCTTCTGTACTGACGTCGCTGCTGCACAGAATCTGCAGCACCCATTCGACCAAATTTTTCATCATCTGCAAATGGAAGAGGAATATCCCATTTATTTTCAAAATATATTGAGACACTAAAATAAGATATTACATTTTAGCTTAATGTGTGCAGTTGAAAAGCAGGGATCTTACTCTAGTAAGACCCTAGTTCCATAATCTGGGTGACTGACAAACACACAGAATGTGTGAACTTGCTTCCAAGTATATATTTCGTTCTCAACCACAGCTCTTTTAAAAACTTAAAAGTTCTCCAAAACCCACTAGTGTCCATAAGCAATTTTCATCATGACATTTAGATTTTACTTTATTACCTGTACTGAAACACATGCTACATGGTAGAACATAGCATATCACTCATTAATAAAACGGAAGATCTTTAAATGCAATAAAAGGAAAAACTGATCAAACTGGAACAATTGCAGCACTTAATGGATGACTTAAAATGGACCTGCCACCTCTCTGAAAAGCATATACTTGAATAAGACATTGAAAGTCACCTATAACTTGTGTTTACTTTCCCATGAGATGCTCTGTTACTTTTAAGTTTCTAATAAAGATTTGGTAAATGACACCACAATCCAATATTGTCCAGTGATAGCCAGAGAAAAAGAAGCATTGGGCTATGTATAAAAGTGTCGAACACACTTTTTAGGCTATTTTGCACCATAAATTTCCCTTACTGTACATGTTTTATTTTCTGGTTCATTTTTGCTAGGATATTATACACTCAACGACTAGCATGCTACTTTTGGATTTATATTTTCCATTCATATTCTGTTATCGGTTATAACAACATAACATTCATATTCTGTTGAAACAAATTTTCTACATAAGTAAAAAAATGCCTTTGAAGTGCCCACATTTGGCTCAGCACTTTGGCACTTTCATAGTCAGAACTTATCTATATTTGTAAATGCACAGATTTTCACACTGCACTATCACTTTAATACGGTAAACATATGCTTTAGCTGGGTTTTAGGCTCATTTATTGCACTGGTTTTAATGGACCACTGTCACTTTAGGAGTTATATGGACCGGACGCGGGGCCTGGTGGCCATGCCAGCCAGACGCGTCTGGTGTGAGCTCTGGCACTTAGGCTGCTAAATGGCTACATTTCGACAGTTTAAATTTCCTATTCTGGGTCCACTCACTGTGAAGCTGAGAGGGATGACAGCCAGACAGACACACACCAGCTGACTACAGCAACAGGATTGGAACGTTTCTCTCCGACTCAGGAACTTTACCAAGCAGCAGTTTTCTATTACCCCTTGCCAGAAGGAGGGAGCCTCGTGGAGGTTTCAGTCTGAACCAACCATTTTCCTCCTACAGTTCCTAATCTATTTACTCGTGCTATTTATTCTAAGTGCACATGCTCTGCTTGCTTACCTTAAATTTTTAGGTCTAGTACAGTGTTAACTCTTCGATTATAAAAAAAAAAAAGAAAGTACTGTTTCATACATATACATTGCTTGCAAATGGTGTAACTATAGTTGACCATGTATTGTCTGACATATTGTTATCAGCACATCAAAAATAAAGATTATATCTATATATATATATATATATATATATATAAATAAAAAAGGAATAAAAAAAAAAAAGTTACATGTACCCTTTATGCTTGATTGCAGGCACATCTATTTACATATTTTACACATTTTCTTGTGTTTTATACCCATGTTACACATCCGTAACCTTAGCACATCACACTTTATCCAGCACTTGCCCCCAAGATATCACTAGGCACTTTAAGTGTTATTTGGCACTTTTGGTGGGCAGAGCATGTCCGAACACAATCAGGGAGATGCTGGCGACCTCTTGGTTCAGCTGGGTACAATATATAATAAAAATATATACATATACACACACACACATACACCAAAATGAGCTCATTTGCATACGCCTACCCAGAATCCCTTACAGTAGTTAGAGCACTGTTAAAGTGAGATTTCTGTGGTAAAAGAAAGTCTTATGGCTTGGCTGGTGTGTATATTTGTGTTTAGCAATATTATTAACTATATACATGTTACTGGCTTGCAATGGAGGCTTGGCGTTGCTTGTAGTGGTAGGAGGGGTTTTCATCCACACTTTTTTCCCCACCACAACTCTGTTGGTATGTGCTTTACAAGTAACGCCAACCCAGTAACCATTAACAATGAAACAGCTCTCCATGAGTGGCTCACTGGCTTTGCTCTCCTTATTTAGTTGTTTCTCAAAGCTGTTGTATACAGCAGACACATACTCCAAGGAATCCATGTATAAAGTGTAATCATGAGGCAAAAATGTGGTTCTTTGTTGAGCTCATTTGCATGCACATACCCAGAATCCCTTGCAGTAGTGAGATCACTGTTAAAGTAAGATTTCTGTGGGAAAAGCAAGTCTTATGGCTTGATTGGTGTGTGTATTTGTGTTTAGCAATGTATAGATATTTCCATAAAACATAAAAATAAATTTATGAATGTGTATGAAAATTAAAAAAACACCTACCAATATATACACTTTTTTCGGACAGTTACCTGATTCTGATGGTTCCCTTTTCCGTGGTTTTGGAGGTGGTGAAGGGGTCTTTCTTTTCTCCATAATTTTGTGTTTAGATACTGCAATAAGAGGAGAATTTAATATAAACACAAAAATTAACTAATTGAAAATTAATTTATCGATTCATACATTAAGAATTATTTTACTGCCCTTTACATAACACACAGCCCCCCAAAAACCACATTCATTCTAACTACCTGGAGCTCTGGGAGGGGATGCAGAATTTCGAGTTTTTCTAGGACGATAAGACTGCTGTGGTGAAGGAGATCGTCTTTTAGGAGGTGGGCTTGGTGGTGGAGATGGTCTATACCGCCTGCGAGGAGGGCTTGCAGATGGCGAAGAGCGCCGAGGTTTGCGGGGAGGACTGGAAGATATTCTTTTTGTTTGCTTCTTAGGTGGAGGAGGAGAGCGGGAAGAGGATGATGAAGAACTGCTCCCAGATAAAGATGCTGAAGAACGTCTTCTTCTTAAATAGAAAATACAGGGGGGAAAAAATTAATTCTTAATTTTCAAGGTCAGAAATAGAATAGGCCTTAAAAAATGACATGTGGTTGTAGTCCACTTGCATGCCTAAAAGAATTAGAAAAAAAACTTGTAAAATATCTTTGAAGGTAGAATTACAAAATTAATGAGAACATACCTTCTTACTGGACTTCTACTTCTCTTGTGCCTTGGTGGGGGAGGCATGCGGCGTGGAGGGCTTCTCCTCCTTGGAGATGGCCTACGTCTTGGGCTTGGTCTTCTCCTAGGGCTATACGACCTATTTAACAAACAAGGTCTTATTAACATACATAGAAAAGAGTGGAGGTGGATGGTCTAAAAAATTTTTTTTACTTACCGTAAATTTATTTTTCCAGAAGATTAGAGGCCGTGCTTTACAACTGGGATTTCACCACCTGCAGGGAAAAAACAGGCAGGCAATCTCCCAAACCTTTCAAGAACCTCCCCCAATTAACCTTTGGCCTTATAAATTGCTTCCTACCCAAGACATCCCCAGAAATTACAAAAGCTGAATAACCGTACCACTCGGACTATGAACAAATTTATAAGGCCAAAGGTTAATTTGGGGGAGGTTCTTGAAAAGTTTGGGAGATTGCCTGCCTGTTTTTTCCCTCCAGGTGATGAAATCCCAGTTGTAAAGTACTGCCTCTAATCTGAAGGGAAAAACACAAAAGAAAGACTTTATATATAGATATATTAAAATATATTTTTACACATGCAAAGCTGAAAGGAAGGGGGTAAAAAACAAAAACAAAAAACACAAAGACCAAACAAAGCAGGCCCCACATATGGTATTTTATTTGGTGAATATGCAAAACAAAATTTACTATACCACAGGAAACTGAAAACTTAGTAACTCGCCCTTTGGCTAGTCCTTAAGCTCTACTTTAACATGATTTAGTTCACCTGTGCCATTACAGAGAAAGCTGAAGCCATAAGGGCTGTCTAGAACTGAAAGGAGTCCATAGATTGATAACTATGAAGACATATGCCCAGTCATAGGTCCATGTGGATGGGGTCAGTCTAAAAAGGTAGATGTGTAGCTTAAATATGTCTGAGACTCCAAGCAAGGACTAACCCTAAAAACTGAACCAGGATGTGCATAAACTGGAAACATACTTTGCCTCTTTGCAAAATGTGTAAATAGAAAATGTAGGTAGTTACCTTGAACGTGATCTGTGACGTCTCCGAGGTCTAGAATGAGAAGGGGAACGAGATCTAGATTTTGACCGTGAACGTGACTTATGTCTATGACGCTCTCGCTCTTTAACCTTGCGAATATTTGGTTCAGGTGAAGTCTCCTTGACCTCGGGAATGGGGTCTGCTTCTTTTATAGACTTCAATATGTCACTAAGAAAATAAATGACATTCTTATTACACCTATTTTAAGACCACTAATGTAGATAAGCCACCTAACACTACAAAACAGGGTTTTTACACCTTAAAAACAAACCACACAGAGCATACTCAAATACATATACTATTGGAGCAAACAAAACGGTTTTCTCACTGTGGAAAAAAACAATACAAAAGGGTACATATTCTGCACTTAACACTTCTAATACTTGTTTGCGCACGGCTAAGAAATACCAAGAAGAATTGGTAAACTACCGATTCAATCACAAAATCAGAAATATAGTCTGATCTGCACTTTCTCCCACTGATACAGCCCATGTTTTTGAGCAAGCGCTTCACCAGAACAAAGTCAAAAACTTTACGGAGACAAAGACGTACTATACAATAGAAAACTAACCAAACTTTCTAATGCAACAAAGCTCACAGCTATATAGCAAAGCTTTTGTTAAAGGGAAATAGGGATCGACCGATTATCGGTCTGGCCGATATTTGGTATTTTCGGCAATATCGGTATCGGCCAATTCAGATACCGATATTGCCGATAATATATAACAGGACCGCCGGGCCCATTACAAGCCCGGCGGTCCTGTGGGGGCCAGCAGCAAGCGCTGACTTACCTTGCATGCAGCTCCCTATGTAAATCTCGCGAGACCCGCGGCCGCAGAGCGTTGCCACGGGTTTCCATGGCAACGCTCCGCGCGGCACTAAGAGCCGCGAGATTTACACAGGGAGCTGTAGGAGCTGCTTGCAAGGTAAGTCAGCGCTTGCTGTTGCTGAGCCACCACTGTACTTAACAAGCCACTGGACCACCAGGGGATACTATATCCCCCTCCCTGGTAAGAATCAGGGAGGGGGGACTAAACAAAAAAAAAAAACCAAACACTTAAATATTAAAAAAAATATTACACAAATTACATCACTACACACACTACACAAACACACACTACACACACACACAAACACACACACACACACACAAACACACACACACAAACACACTGCATTACATACACTCTACACATACACAGCACACACACTGCATTACATACACTACACAAACACAGCACACACACTGCATTACATACACTCTACACAAACAGCACACACACTGCATTACATACACTCTACACAAACACAGCACACACACTGCATTACATACACTCTACACAAACACAGCACACACACTGCATTACATACACTCTACACAAACACAGCACACACACTGCATTACATACACTCTACACAAACACAGCACACACACTGCATTACATACACTCTACACAAACACAGCACACACACTGCATTACATACACTCTACACAAACACAGCACACATACTGCATTACATACACTCTACACAAACACACTCTACACAAACACACTCTAGGGGGGAGGACTAAACCAAAAAAACATTTAAATATTAAAAAAAAATATTAAAATAAAAATTACATCACTACACTCTACACACACCCCACACAAACACACGGGGACTAAACAAAAAAACAAAACATTTAAATATTAAAATAAAAAATTACACAAATTACATCACTACACAAACACACACTGCACACATACTGCATTACATACACACTACACAAACACACACTCTGCATCCACTACACACAGTTCCCCTGTCTAAACACACTTCATCCACTACATGTGGCATGTATATTTTGTGCATTTACCTTTCGAATTAGTTTATTTATTCAAAATAGTAAATGTACAGAATATCGGCAAGATATCGGCTATCGGCCTGAAAGTTCGCAGATTATCGGTATCGGCTCTAAAAAAATCAATATCGGTCGATCCCTAAAGGGAAACTCCAGTGCCAGGAAAACAATCTGTTTCCTGGCACTGCAGGTTCCCTCTCCCTCCCACCCCCAAATCACCGGTTGCTGAAGGGGTGAAAACCCCTTCAGTAACTTACCTGAGGCAGCGACGATGTCCCTCAAATATAGATATCACAATACTAACACGGCTTCATCTATTGTACCCACTTGTTTCTCTTATGCTCAAATACGTTTCTATTTACATATATTGGAAAAGTTCTATATGCCACTTTCAACTTAAAACAAATCTAAAAAAAAAAACTAATTTGAGATCTTGAGGGGAAAAGCTTGACTAGTGTGTGCAGATTTGTGTTTAACAATGTATAGACTATCCACTGATTTCAGATGGAAGGGGTTTTCAATCACTTGTTTCCCCACCATAACTTTCTTGGTTTATTGGTTCTAAATATCCACACTCCATCTACAAAGGTAGTTCATTAAGAATGGCATAATGCCAAAATGTTTGTGCTGTTGTCTCCATTCATGTTTATAATATAGATTAGTATTTAAATGTTTACTGTATGAACCATTCTGTTTTTAAACAAACTATCTTTGTAGATATTTAGCACTAATAAAGATTATTTTGATAGTTGATCACCATGGTGCTTGTTTACATATTGTTTATATGTCCTGCTTTGGTAACCAAATTTACCATTTAGCAACCACACTAGTGAGCATTATTTGGATTTGAGCTTTAAAGTTTGTTCACCTGGATGACACCACACACCTTCAAACAAGTACAAACCTCACCTGACTACATCGACCCAAACACCATCCTATGACCCCTGAGAGGGGTCCGCGCACGGTATGGCTCGCGGACCGCGACACCTACCCCCCCATGCCCACACCGCCCTATTCCACAACCCTCACCCTGACCCGCACCTCGACTCGGACAATTCCACACCTACACATAGCAAGACAGGACACACAAAGATTCGAAGAGTGACAAAACCCATCACTTAAGAATGCAAAAATAACAGGGAAATTAAACAAGTGTTCAATGAAGCTACAATGTTGATACGAATGTACGCTACCTCCAATGTGCAACAGTACCCTGCGTTGGTACCGACATTTACCTTAAAAGTAATGTTATGACTTGAACCACACCCACCCCCCCCACCCCCCTTTTTTTATTTTCTGTACCCCACTCCCCTCCCTCCTGATCTAAGGCGAAAACCTACAAATAAAGAATTTTTTTTAAAAAGATTGTTCACCTTGTTGAAGTTGCCTCCTGCACAGAAGGTTCCTTCACTATAATAGATGATTCTGGTTCTGGCACGTCTGGTTGTTTAGCCACAATAACAGGAGAAGGACTTCGACTTTTTGTCTCAGGACAGGGTGAATGAGAAGGGCTTCTCTTCCGCTCTCTTCTAACTGGCGACCTTCTGCGAGGCGATGAAGATCTCGACTTGCGCCTATGATGAAAATAAAATAGGACGTGGAAGAGCATTTTACAAAAAATGTGGATGTGTTTTTCATAATTAACCCCTAATTAACCCCTTAAAGGGGAATTATAGTGCCAGAAAAAAACAAAACAAAAAAAACACTTTCCTGGAACCATAGCTTCCCACTCTGTCAAGCTCCCTCACCCACCCACCCCCCGTGATGCAGAAGGGGGATAATCCCTTTTGTCACTTATCTGGTTCCATCTCTGCCCATGCTCCTAATGCGCATGCGCGGCAATGGACTTTCCCATAGGAAAGCATTACTAAGGCAAATGTACAAGTCCAGACCAAAAAATAAAAACAACCTTGAATGTGTGTTAAATTACACCCCATGTACAGGGTCAAATATTGCATATCCAATAACATTTTTCATTTTTTTTTTACATTGAAATTTTACAGACTGGTTATGTTGCATTCGAGACCGTATGGTAAGCCCAGGAATGAGAATTACCCCCATGATGGCATACCATTTGCAAAAGTAGGCAACCCAATGTATTACAAATGGGGTATGTCCAGTCTGATTTAGTAACCACTTGGTCTCAAACACTGGCCAAAGTTGGCGTTCATTTTTGTTTGTGTGTGTGAAAAACGCAAAAAAAAAAAAAACCCACAAAAAAAACAAAACAAATTTGAACGTTAACTTTGGCCAGTGTTTGTGACCAAGTGGTTACTAAAAAAATACTAGATGTACCCCATTTGCGATAACTTGGGTGGTCTACTTTAGCAAATGGTATGCCATCATGAGTAATTCTCATTCCTGGGCTACCATGCGGTCTCAACGCAACATATCCAATCTCGCAAATTAAGGTCATTGAAAGTGTATTTTAAATATAATATATATATATATATATATATATATATATATATATATATAAATATAATATACACTTTCAGTAATGGTGTATGTGTGTATATAAAAGTCCTTTGAATATATATACACACACTAAGTTTTTTTTATTTACTTTATAAACTTTTAAAAACTTTTGTGCATGCAATAGAAGGATAGCCTGGGAGGCCAGGCACTGCACAAGCTGGCTATTCAAGCCATGTGATCGAAAGGACCTCACGAGGGCAGAAGGGGAATGCCTCGGCTTTCAGGCAGTTCCCAGGAACGCGACAGTCGACATGGGTGCAGTGGGGATCTGGTTAGTTCCCTAGACAGAAGGGATATTCTATGCACCCATGTGGCGCTTAGGACCAGCCCCGCCAGGATGGCAGAGCACCTGCCATCCTGGTGGGGGTGGTCCTAATTTAATGCCCAAATTTAAATATTATGGGGGCTTTTGAATTCCTTCAACAAGCCTTCAAGGAATTTAAATAAAACCATCTAAACCGTAAAAAAATAAAAAAATAAATCCAGAAAGAGCACCTAGTACTTAAGGATGAGATTTAGATGTACAAGCCAAACAGAGGTGAATTTCCATACAAAAACACAAATGAAAAATACCTTCGTGGACTCCGAGATCGATCCTTTCGGTCTCTGTCATCTTTCTCCCTTTTATCTTTATCATCATCTTGCTTTTTCAGTGATGCCAATTTTTCTTGCTCAATCTAAAGGAAAAAAAACACAAAACTTATTTTTATACACTAAGGTTGGTGTGGAGGGAAACAAATTTTACCAATTCATTTTTATGATTATATATATTTATGATTATATATATTTTTCTATACATATAAATATATGCTATTTCTTTATTGAGCGACTATAAATTCTCAGAACTACACAAGTGAGGTGTGTAACTGGGGAGTTTTAAAATAGTGACAAAGGTAAAAGTATTGAGTAGATAAAAAAATAAATAAATAAATATATATATATATATATATATATATATATATATACATACATATATATACACACACACACACACACTATAGTCACCAAAACAACTATAGTTTTACTGCTCTATAGGACTTAAAGGACCACTATAGTGCCAAGAAAACACTTGTTTTCCTTGAACTATAGTGCCCTGAGGGTGCCCCCACCCTCAGGGACCCCCTCTCGCCAGGCTCTGGGGAGAGGAAGCGGTTAAAATCTTACCTTTCTCCAGCGCCGGGCGGGGAGCTCTCCTCCTCCTCTACACCTGAATGCGCATGCGCGGCAGGAGCTGCGCGCGCAGCCAGTCTCATAGGAAAGCATTCATAATGCTTTCCTATGGACGCTGGCGTCTTCTCAATGATTTTCACAGTGAGAAGCACGCAAACGCCTCTAGCGGCTGTCAATGAGAGTCACTAGAGGCTGGATTAACCTATTTATAAACATAGCAGTCTCTATGAAACTGCTATGTTTATAAAAAAAATGGGTTAACCCTAGCTGGACCAGGCACCCAGACCACTTCATTAAGCTGAAGTGGTCTGTGTGCCTAGAGTGGTCCTTTAAATCACTTGTTTCTGGTTATGAAGCCCTAGCTACACCTCCTCTGGCTGTGACTGACACAGCCTGCATGCAAACAAAACGATTTTCAATCATATGTAAAAAAAAAATTTTTTTTTACATTTCCTGTTCTGTAAATCGAAATTTCATTACATACACGAGGCTTCTGCAAGCTATTAAAAGAGCAGGAGATACATTCTAATTTAAAAAAAAAAAAAAGAGGTTCTATTTCAGCTGTCTAAAGTAAAGACAAATAAGTTGATAAGGCCTGATGGGATACGCATAAAGTGTATCAGGTATGATAATATAAAAGGTGATAGCACTAAAAGAAAGCATGGGGAGAATGGTCGTCCAGCACATCAGAAGTATTACCTAATTATTCCTTACACTTACTCTGAGATTGCAGATAGACTATTTTTGCTCAAAATACTAAAAACGTAATATACAAAAGACATGACATTTTAAATAAGGCTTTTTTTTCTGTAATAAAATAGTACAGGACTGTGATAATCTAATGCTAATAAGTTGTATGTTTGCTGTAAATAGGTTTAAAAGAAAAGTATTTAAATTCTTTATAAATGTAATATTTGCTCATGAATATTCACCAAGTGGGTATTCCTAAGTGTAAACTTTAACCATACCTGTCTTTGTTTTATTTCTTCTTTCTTTAACTCCAGGAATGCAGATGGAATTCCAGCAACATTCTCTTGGGCACTCAACAGCAATGGCCATAGCTCTCCCATGAATTCCCTTGCATTTTTACCATTTAGGAAACCTGTCAGGTTGATCTGCATCATTTTGGAGTCTGGATTCTGAAAAAAATAAAAATAAATTACAGGTGAGTCAGGAAACACTATTTTAATAAACATCTACACAATTATAACGATACTAATTTAAACACGAGTAAAATATTTACTTTCCCTAGGATTTTGCTGGCTTACGTTTTGCCAAAGACCAAATCGCTCTCCTTAACCAAAACGGCCTGTTAATCCTTTGTGGATGTTTCCAAAATTAGATTTGTCTGTGCAGTTGATGATATTTCTCTAGAACTTTGAAGATCCTACACTACGCATTCATGAATTACAAAAGAAAATGTGAACTGTACCATTAAGTTCTGTAAAATAAAAACCACTTTAAGTATTTTCAATATACTTTTAGATTATACTTTTCATGCATGCCCCTGCAATATACAAAATATACTGATATCACTATGAGGGTAACATGTGGAAAATATATCTAGTCCACAAAGGGTTAAAAGGTTGAGTGCAACGTAATGGAGCAGTTTTTAGTTAAAAAATATTTCAGCACAGTCAAGCAATATAGGTCCACGTGAAAAGCAGAGCGCAACAGCACAAAGTACAGATTCCAGCAGTCTTCAGTCTCTTCTCGGAACCTTGGGGGAGGTTGGGGTTTGTCCAAGTCCCCCTGGAGAGAAAGATGTTCGCTTGGCTTGCTTCCGACTGCCTACAGCAACTCAACCACCTTGAGTTTAATGTTATATCATTTATCTAAATTGCAAAAAACGAACAAGCAATAATGAGTACATAGCCACAAATAAAATTTATCAAAATTTCTAAAGCTTTAATCTCATGCTTCGCATTCAAAATAAATGTACGGGTTCGAGGAACTCTAATGAGATATAAACCAAGTCAGTGTTTAAGTTGATTCTATTATTCCACTGTATCCAACTGGTCCATCTGCTTTGTTAGTGGCCAGTCAAGCTAAAACAAACAGATTGGGCGCTAGTGCACAAGACACCATTAAAAAGTAAAATAACTGACAGATTACACAAAGTTTAAAACCCCAGAAGAGGTGGAAGCAATTGAAAGCTGCATTCATTTCAATAACTTGACCAGTTGAACAATGTACTATTCTGTTGAGACAAAAACACTCCAAGGATTAGAATGGCAAGTAAAATATCAGATCTTTCATGAGCTGCCAGAGGCAGAACATTTCCCCACTAAAAATAAATAAATAAAACATTAAAGGGAATCTATCATGAAAAAAGGTGTTCCTGCCATTAACCAGTTCCTGTAAGACAGGACAGAATACTTGTCTGGAAATCTAGCAGACCTTAATCTGCTTAATCCAAGTGATACTCTCTGCCTCTCATGATCATTTTTCCTCAAAATCAGAGTATAATAAAAGTTAGATCTCAATAACGTAACATCCATTTTATGGTGAAACCTTTGTCGACTAAATGGTACATTTACAAACAAATAAGGAATTTTAAATTTAACAAGATTTGGAGCAATGTAATACTACATTATTAAACTTGGAGTTTAAATGTTTGCTTAAAGTGGCCCTGTCTTTTTTACATCATATGGGTTTCCTTATGCACCGTTTCTTATCAGGCAGCCACAACAGGTACTTCTGGGATTTTACCGGACTCTAGGTTGCCTAAATGACGCTGGATGTCTTCACGCTCTGCATGAGGACATCCAGCGTTCGTAAAATCCCCATAGGGAAGCACTTATTCAATGCTTTCCTATAGGGGGCCTAAGGCGCTCACCAGGCAAAACCCCCACAACACCGGAGGAGGCAGAGCACCAAGGGACATCGGAACCGGGTGAGTAAATAAAGATTTTTTTTGCTTTAAAAAAAAAAAAAACCAAAAAAAAAAAAAAAATAAAACCTGTGCGCCACAGTGGGGGGACCAGAAGGCACTATATAGTGTTAGGAATACAGATTTGTATTCCTAACACTATAGAATCGCCATAATACTTATACTCACCTTTACATTAACTTTTCTTTCATGTGATAGATCAACGTATCTGGTACATTTTGATTTCTCTGACTATAATGTCTGCCATTTGCCCTTCTGTGGGATTGATTTTATTGACTGGCAACTGAAACACAACCCTGCTTTAAGCTCTGCCATTGTCAAGTTTTGTACCTTGACTACCACTCATAAGGAAAAGTAGTCGGTACTTTTTCTTATGTATGTTATGAAAATGAGTACTCGGGAGATAAACAAAACTAAAGATTCAGACAGGCAGGTATTAAGTAGATTACATGAAGTAATTTTTAGTGAAAGATGCACTTTAACCCCTTAAGGACCAAGCTTCTGGAATAAAAGGGAATTATGACACACGTCATGTGTCCTTAAGGGGTTAAGAGAAGCAGTCAGAGTAGAGTAAAACTGACATGTTTTACACTCAGCGCGGCCTCACTTTTAGTCAAGTTAGAGACAGGGGCTGGCAGCATCTACTAGCAACAGTCAGTATCGTCTGCTACAGAAGAGAAAGTTATTCACAAATTGTAACAAACAAATACAAATGGCACAAAAAACAAAAAAATAACATTACAGCTAGGAGTTTAGTGAACAAACCTGTTTGTTTTTAATATACAAAACTAAATAAATCACTACAATTTGCTATTGGAGATAGTCCATAAATAAAATTGCACAACACCCAATATATGCCATTTACTTTCTGACTAAAGTAGTCTGGTTTTAACCTTTATTTTGATTTCAAAATAGAAATTTAAAGAATGAATACGCTTTTATAGTTATGTTAGAATTTTACCAACCATCGAAGAGCATGTCAGAGTTATGTATGATTATAAAGCAGTATCACTAGGTGATCATTATCTTCATTACCGTTATAGGTGATAAACAGTGCAATACTTTTTGGCAGTTTGCAACTCTGCTTTGGAAATCTGTTTGGAAATGCCCAGTTTCAGTTAAACATCAACTTTCAACAAAATTTCTCCATTATGCCATTTTCCCCAGGAAAAACTTTCTAGCTAAAATGACACATCCATTGTTGAGAAAATCCCTAAAACCAGGGGTTGATGTATGCCCATAACATTAGAGAACTGTTTAAAGAGCCAGAAAAGTGACATGCCAATAAATGTTTTTAACAGCATAAGATTACTGAAGTGAGAGCATAATCTCTCATTTAGTGATTATGTGCATGGAGTCTCCTCGCAATGACCCTTTGCTGCTACTCTGATGCCTCCACATTAGCTCAAGCAGCAATTGGCTACAGGGACATATGTAACCAGTCTCCAGGATGGCCAAGGTCACTCCCTCCTTAGTCACACCTCCATGCAAAAATGATTCAACACTAAGTAAGCTGGCACTTCAGGCATCGCAATCTAACATGTTGACAACTAAACCAACCACGTAAAATATTTATATTGGAAAAAGCCAAAACATAAAGTGTTACACTTGTGCCGAAAAAAAGAAAAAAAAAAAAGTTCATATGTGCATGCATATGTAACAGGCAAAATGCAATGATCAGACATTGAAATCTATTTTTACATTTGGCTCATTTTACACACTAGACAGTGCGGAGTTATTGCTGTGCTACTCCTAGAAATTTGCTGTGCCCATAGTCCATCTTCTCAAATTTAAAGGGACACTAGTCATCAAAAACAACTTTTGCTTAATGAAGCAGTTTTGGTGTATATATCATGTCCCTGAAGTCTCACTGCTCAGTTCGCCACCATTTAGGAGTTAAATCACTTTGTTTCTGTTTATGCAGGCGTAGTCACACCTCCACTGACTGACTCAGTCTGCATGAAAATAAATGGTTTCACTTTCAATCAGATGTAACTTACTTTAACCCCTTAACGCCGTTCCGTGTCGTCGCGGCTTTAAACCCTTAAGGACACATGACATGTGTGACAAGTCATGATTTCCTTTTATTCCAGAAGTTTGGTCCTTAATGGGTTAAAGCCGTTGCGGCGGCATAGAACGCCGCAACGGGCGGTACTCACCTCCGCCGCGATCCTCTTCTGGAGGACTGCCTGACAGCCCAGGCAACCCTCCCCCGGCAAGTGAGGCCCCCTATAGCTGGCTGTGGACCTGCCAGCAGGGGGACTGTCTGAAATATCAGACAGTCCCCCTGCTAGTAGGTAGTGTAAAAAAAACAAAAAATAAAAAAAAACAATTTAAACGTTTAAAAAGAAGTTAAAAGTATTATATATATATGTAACGTCATACAGAGTGTATTTTAATACTAATAACATATATTATTAAAATACACTTAGAATGACGTTATATTATATAATATATACACACATACACATATATAATTACAATAAATAAAATAAATATTGAAACAAAATTTAATATAAATTATATATTCATATGTAATTTCATTCTAACTGTATTTTGTTAATATATATATATATATATATATATATATATATATATATATATATATATATATATATATATATATATATATATATATATATATAGTAACAAAATACACTTAGAATGACATTCTATATATAAAATACAAATAACCGCAAATATATATAAAATTACATAAAAGATTATATTAGCATACACGTAGAATTTAAATACCTATAAATGCATATATTAAAATTCTACGTGTATATTTAAGTAATCTTTTAACATAATTATGTGATTTGATTAATTAAAATTTGATTGACATGCCTGACAACACAGGGAGAAAGTGCAGAGAATATAATTCGCAAGCACTATATTTGACCCTGTAACTCTCCAAGACACCATAAAACCTGTACATAGGGGGTACTGTTTTACTCGGGAGACTTCGCTGAACTCAAATATTAGTGTTTAAAACTGGTAAATTGTATTACAACTATGATATTTTAAGTAAAAGTGACGTTTTTTGCATTTATTTTTTTTTTTACAAACAAACGGCACTTTTATGGACTATATTATTGTTGTAATATGTTTTACTGTTTTAAAACACTAATATTTGTGTTTAGTGAAGTCTCCCGAGAATAACAGTATCCCCCATGTACAGGTTTTATGGTGTTTTGGAAAGTTAGAGAGTCACATATAAGGCTTGCATTTCATTTTTTGGACATTGAAATTTGCCAGATTGGTTATGTTGCCTTTGAGAGCGTATGGTAGCCCAGGAATGAGAATTACCCCCATGATGGCATACCATTTGCAAAAGTAGACAACCCAAGGTATTGCAAATAGGGTATGTCCAGTCATTTTTAGTAGCCACTTAGTCACAAACACTGGCCAAATATTAGTTTTTTGCTTTTTTCACACAAAAACAAATATGAAGGCTAACTTTGGCCAGTGTTTGTGACTAAGTGGCTACTAAAAAAGACTAAACATACCCCACGTTCAATACCTGGGGCTGTCTACTTTTTCAAATGGTATGCCATTATGGGGGTAATTCTCATTCCTGGGCTACCACACCGTCTCAAAGGTAACATTACTAATCTGGCAAATTTCAATTTGAAAATGGAACGTTCTATATTTGACCCTGTAACTTTCCAAAACACCATAAAACCTGTTAATGGAGGGTACTGTTGTACTCGTGAGACATCGCCGATTACAAATATGTGCATTATTTTGCAGTAAAACCTAACAGTATGACATTCACAGCTAAAATGTGAGGCGGAACTACAATTTTTTTTTTAAATTTAGACTCAGTTTTTTTAATTTTATTCATAATAAGTTATGTTTCATATATAAATATTTGATTTAAAATGAAAGCCCTGTTTCTCCTGAACAAAATGATATATAATAAGTGTGGGTGCATTTAATATGAAAGAGGTGAATTACGGTTGAACAGACATAGCGCAAATTTCAATTTTTGTTTACGTTTTGTTTTGATCAGAACATGTACTATTGACTCCGCCCTGAAGGGGTTAAACGTTTATTTCCTGCTCTGTAAACTGAACTTTCATTACATACAAGAGGCTCCTGCAGGGTCTAGAAAGCTATTAACAGAGGAGATAAATTCTAAATTAAACAGTATTTTCAATACAGGAAGGGTAAACATTAGATGACTCTTTGCAGGAAGTGTTGGTAGGCTGTGTAGGTCACATGCAGGGAGTTGTGACTAGGGCTGCATAAACAAAGTGATTTAACTCCTAAATGGCAGAGAATTGAGCACTGAGACAGCAGCGGCATGATCTACACACCAAAACTAGGGATGCACCGAAATGAAAATGCTGGTCCGAAATCGAAAATTCAGGATGCCCTTGGCCGAAAAAGACTTGTCCCCAAATTAATTTTTTTTTTTAATTGTTTTTGTAACTTTATTAATATTAGACTTAATTAATTGAATTAATCTAATATGAAAAACGTCCCTTCTCTTTTAGTGTCACCCTCCCCCCCGCTTAATGTTCCTCTCTCCCCCCCCCTCCCTTGTCGCATAGTGTTCTTTTCTCCTCCGCTGTCCCAAGTTTAATATTCTTGACTTTCATGTTATCATTACTATTTTTCATTGTGATATATAAATCATCTGAATTGTTAAAGGTGCACTATAGGGTCAGGAACACAAACGTATTCCTTACCCTATAGGGTTAAAACCCACCATCTTAGCTCCCCAGGCCCCTCATGCCTCCCTAAATATAGTAAAACCTTACTTGTATTCAAGTCTGGAGCTGTTTGCTTTGTACCTGTTTCCTTTAGACCTGCCCACTGCCTGATGACATCAGCAAAAGTGGTAGCCTGATTCAATCACAATGCTTCCCCATAGGATTGGCTGAGACTGACAAAGAGGTAGATCAGTGGCAGAGCCAGCACAATTCAAACACAGCCCTGGCCAATCAGCATCTCGTAGAGATGAACTGAATTAATTTACATCTATGAGGAAAGTTCAGTGTCTGCATGCAGAGGGAGGAGACAATGTTTGGATGCATTATAGGCAGCCATGACCCAGGAAGTATCTCTAACAGCCATCTAAGGAGTGGCCAGTGAAGTTATCACTAGGCTGTAATGTAAACACTGCATTTTCTCTGAAAAGGGTGTTTCCAGCAAAAAGCAATAAGCTGTAGTTTTTCTGGTGACTATAGTGTCTCTTTAATGCAAGCATGTCTGTTAAACTATGCACTACAAAAAAAATAAATAAAAATGTTGGCAAATTTGACCGGTTTTCAGCCGAAAATTTTGGTGCATCCTTAACCAAAACTGCTTCATTAAGCTAAAGTTGTTTTAATGACTAGAGTGTCCCTTTAAGAGACACTGTTTTAGCTGCATACCAAATGTTTTTGAGCAAGCTGTGGAAACCAAACGCAAAATTGAAAAATCCCATTTCAATCGGTCTCATATAAATAGAATATTTTTGACTTCTACGGCTTTCATAAACTAACCAAAATCACAGTACTTATGTCCACGAAATTATATTTCAAATTGCTCAAGAATGATTAAGGAGTTCAACACAAACCAAATTGCTTCTTTTTGCATGTAAAGTAATAAAATGGCCTGGAGTATGATATGTGGGTACTCACGGCTCAGCAAATTTTAACAACTCTTAATATTGGATATTTAAAAAAAAAAAAATGCAGATGTATCTTCATTCTTAAAGGCTTTGTTTTAATATCTAAATCAACCTACATAACAGCTAGGCAAAGTATTGTTGAGGTTTCAAGCACGGCATGAAAGAGCCACATATGCAATAAAGTGGGTGAATTTTGCCTGTAACAAATACACACATTTTCAATGATAGGTTCCCTTTAATGCACAAAATATAATTTCCCACCTACATTTGTTATCACACCATCATAAATGTGACCAGTCACTGCAACCATCAGTTTTGTAGCCACTATGCAATAAGCATATTGAAGGTTTTCAAACTGAAGTGAAACGTTTGGCTTAAGTTAACTATAGGTCAGTTTTATTGTGCTTTTGATTTTGTTTGGCCACCATAACACAACTCACCTCCAAAACACACACTGCATCATCAAGAGAGTTGGGTCAGAGCGACATTGGACACTCACTCTGCTGTGCCCTAATTAGTTGATGGTGCTACACTTCACACGCAAGGAATAACTTCCATTTTGGTTCAGGCCTTTTAAATCATAAATCACATTATCATTAGAAAACTGCCATCTAACTCAGAATGTCACACAGCAACATCAAAACAATAAAGGCTACCTCAAATGTAGACTGAATATCCAAGTACCTTCCGCTAAAATTAAACCCACCTTTTTAAATTTGATTTATAATGTGAATTCTGACACAGTACACATGCTAATACAAAAGCCTTGCATAACAGGCAGAAAAGAAGAAATTATTTTGGCGGAAACCTTCTACAACATGGATTACCTTAACTTCCAACTGGTTGAAGACAAAGTCAATCACCACATCATCTTCAAATCCTAATATTTCTGTAACTCTTTTTGTAATCCAAGGCTTGATTACTTCCAGATTTACTTTGCTCATGTCCACCTATTTCAAAATAAAAACAGGAATATTTTAATTTAGTAATTTATTTTAGCGTAGTAGATCACATTCATACAGCTTAGAATTTCTCACTACTAGACATTTAAGTTAAAGGGACACTCCACTGCCTAAATACAAAGAAAATAAAAACCATTGTTTAGTAGATATACCCATATAATGCACTGCATGTATTTAATGATGCATCTTTTTCTTTGGGAATTATCGGTGGTGTTTTAGCAGATAACTGGTACCAATATTCTTCACCCCTCCATTTAATGTGGCCAGGGAGGAAGACATTACACTCCCTGGTGGTCCATTGCCTTTTTGCAGACTGCCAGGGAATTTCACATTGTAGAGGTGGCGGATGGGACCCAGCACTCCCCATCTTCTGATTCCAACAGGTCCTCTCTCCAACTAGTGAGCCTTGTATGCAGCGCGGAGCATTGCCAGCCAGGAACTCATGAAAGTTGGAGAGAGAAGCTGTTAGAAACAGACGATAAGAGAGTGCTGGGTCCCAGCGGCCCCCTTTACAATACGAGTGGCACCCGGGGCGGACAGCCCCTCCACAGTATCTGCAATACAGGTATAATTTCAACTGATATTTGCCAAAAATCCCCTTTAAATCGGCCAAACCAATATATTGTCAATGGAAAACAAAATGGATAAGCGCTAAGGAAACAACTGACTAGACTTAGGCAAACCCTGGGTATAAGGTAATCCCATAAACCCTAAAAATAGACAGCACTTATATTAAGAATGAATTTCATAATCAAATATTGTAAATAACACGTGACCTCATGAGGTCAAAGGATGTCATTTTGGTGCCAAAATAGCCATTTTAATTGCCATTAACATATATACCCCTATGTGCAAGATCAATCTGTTTGAAAAAGCCTTTATATGTGGAACGCGTTATGTAATAGTGTAGCAGTTATGTTTATTTCATTTAAGTATTAAAGTATATTTGTTTTTAACTCACTTTGTTGTGAGAGACCATTTATTACACTTTGTATGCAATTCTACAATTTTATTTGTTCCTGGCACACCTAACTTCAGATCTGGACAACTATTTACCAGCATATCCCCAGTGGTGATTATACCACCTACGCGCAAATATTTGTGCGACTTAACGCTCTATCAAATGAGAGTATAATAAATTTTTGTACTGCATCACATATCTATGTTTACAGTGAGCACTAATGGATATTTTATTTTTCTTTTACATATCTACCTGCACATCGAGATATTCACCTAAAAAGTTACATATCCATTAGTGGGAATTGTACCAATGCAAGCAATTTTACTTCAAGCTAGTTTACGCTCCATAACATGTGAATGCTACCTCATATACTACTGCTGTGAGTACTAGTTTTTGACCCAAAAGGTCTGCACCATTATTTGTTATTTTGTGTCACATATATTTACAAGCTCCTTAACTGCAGTCATGTAGGACTTGAGACTGAGTCACGCATTCATATATCTATCTTTATTAAAATAACACTAATCTTCTATGAGACCTTTCAAGCTCATTCAAATTGTTTAATCAGGAAGGAGTTGTGATAAAGGATGAAAAGAAAAATAAGCTAAAGATATATTTGTAAAAAATCACTTGTAAGAAATAGAAAATATAACTCCGTAAATCTATAACGTTTCTGCTGACTGCTACAAGTATATACTTTTATTAAGAATTGCTAAAGTCTAGCTTGTAAGATACAGCTTTAAGAGTTATAAAAATACAAAATTAATTTTGCATCTATTTCCACTGTTGCCTCCTAGTACTGAAGCATCCCCTTACTTAAGGATCTAATGAAAAAAACAAAAAAAATTGCTCACATTGCTATAGGACGACACAAAAACGTAAATATCACTGCTTGCTCATATTCTGTTCTTTTCTACTATGAAAACATTCAGCAATAAAGTTGACACAGTTAGACTCATGCCAATGTATACCTTCTTTTCCAGGCATTCTGCAAATTTAAGCTGCTTCAAAAGTTTCTTTTGTTTGTTGCTGAATCGATTATCCTGCTCTGCACTTGTACCCTGTAAAATAAAAGATAATTATAAGCGTGATTTGCTACATTATACAAGATAATAAACATTAATTACCAACTTAAAAGGACCACACTGGGCACCATAACAACTCAACCTCAATCAGGGTATAATGACGGCAGTTACTGGTAATGTCTTACCTAAAGAGTTTATATTTTTGAACATTTTAACTCCGAAATTGCAAAGATTGGATCCATCTGCTCTGCCTAGCAACTTCTAATGGTCCAAGGCTTCAATCGGAAATCACCACACTATAAGCTGCTTTCAGAAATTCTAGATAACAGAAGGCTCGCAATGCGGCGCCACTATGTAGTTTAGAGCAGTCACTTGGTGCTCTAAGCCAATCAGTAGCTCCCCATTAATAAAAAAAATAAAATAAAGCTATGGCATGAGGTTAACACTACAAACCAAGTAGCAGCACCCCCATCCGAGCTTTCTGTTATCTAGGATTTCAGAAAGCTGAAGGAGGACAGGGTATAGCGATCCGGTGCAGGAAAACAGATTTTGGGGTTAAACCAACCATGAACGATTTAAGGTAAGTCAAAAGTAGGCACCTACTGGCACTATAACAACTTCATGTTGATAGTTGTTATAGTACACAAAAGTGTCTTTTAAGATAAGATTGTTTTGGTGTCTGGAGTGTCCTTTTAAATCTGGCACTGCAGGGAACCCCAGTGAGATAAATGCCCTATGTAAGCAAATTAATCTCACAACAGCAATCATTTAGGTTAAAGGATCACTACAGGGTCAGGAACACAAACATGTATTCCTGACCCTATAGTGTTAACACCATCTAGCCCCCCTGTGCCCCTCATGCCCCCATGAATATAGTAAAAAATCTTACTGTATTCAAGCCTGAAGCTGTAAATCTGCATGCTGTTAGACTCAGAAAAACAAGCAGTATGCTGACATGTGGTAGCCTGATCCAATCACAGTGCTTCCCCATAGGATTGGCTGAGACTGACAAAGAGGCAGATCAGGGGCAGAGTCAGCATGATTCAAAAACAGCCCTGGCCAATCAGCATCTCCTCATAGAGATGAATTGAATCAATGAATCTCTATGAGGAAAGTTCAGGGTCTGCATGCAGAGGGAGGAGATATTGAATCACAGGATGCTGTGCACAGTGTTTACATGAGAAAGGCTGTAGGGAGCTATAGTTCTCACCTGAACAATCTCATTAAGCTGAAGTTGTTCAGGTGACTATAGTGTCCCTTTAAGATGGAATAGAACCAGCCAAGAACACACACAAAAATAAGTACATTGATTGTTGTGGCGGGCTTACAGAAAACACCAGATCTTTAACCCCTTAACGTCGTTACTGCGTTCTATGACATCCCCATTATAATGGGCTTTAAAGCTGTTGCACAGAACACCATAACTGCTTAAGCCCCCAGAAGCTCTGCGGTACTTACCTCCACTGCGAGCTGCTTCGGGAGGACTGTCTGACAGCCCAGGCAGCCCTCTCCGAGCAAATCAGGCCCCGGGGGCTATGTGATTGCTCTCAAAGAGCAACCACAGGGCCCCTATAGCTGGCTGTGGATCTGCCAGCAGGGGGACTGTCTGGGTTGTGGGTAGTGTAAAAAATATATAATTAAACATGTTTAAAATAAATTAAATGTACACACACACACATATATATATATATATATTATATATACACACACACACACACATTTTATATATCATACGTATGTTTTATTATAAGTACATATATAAGTATTAAAATACACTTAGAATGGATAGATTATATATATATATATATATATATATATATATATATATATATATATATATATATACACACACACACACACACACACACACACACACACACTTACAATAAAATATTTTTGTAATTTCATTCTGTATTTTGTTAATACATATGTATGTAACAAAATACACACAGAATGACATTCTATATATAAAATACAAACAACCGCAAAAAAATAAAAAATGATATATATTTATTATATTTACAGTGTTTGTGACTAAGCGGCTACTAAAAAAAGACTGGACATACCACACTTGCAATACCTTGGGTTGTATACTTTTGCAAACGGTATGCCATCATGGGGATAATTCTCATTCCTGTGCTACCATACGGTCTCAAAGGTAACATTACTAAGCTGGTAAATTACAATGTGAAGAAACTGAGAAATGAAATGTGCTATATTTTACCCTGTAACTTTCCAAAACACCATAAAACCTGTTAATGGGGCGTACTGTTGTAACATAGAAACATAGAATGTGACGGCAGATAAGAACCATTCGGCCCATCTAGTCTGCCCAATCCTCCAAAAACTTTCACTAGTCCCTGGCCCTATCCTATAGTTAGGATAGCCTTATGCCTATCCCCACGCATGCTTAAACTCCTTTACTGTGTTAACCTCTACCACTTCAGCTGGAAGGCTATTCCATGCATCCACTACCCTCTCAGTAAAGTAATTCTTCCTGATATTTTTAAACCTTTGTCCCTCTAAAAACCATATGTTTGTTCAGACCATGCTGGGCCACGCTATCACTGACATTCAACATGTGTTCAGCCTATATTCGGTCTTTCACCAATTAAGGTGGCATTTTGTCACAGTTCTCACCGTGCCATACAAACATAGTCACTCCATAAATGCCCAACAGGGGATTTGAACTTTGCTGTCCTAATCCTGCCGTTTTACCTCTGAGCCACAATTCAGCTTATTGAACCTGGGTACTTTGCGGTCCTAATCCTGCTGTCTTACCTCTGAGCCACAATTCAGCGAGACAATGCTGAATACAAATACAGTGGTACCTCGGTTTACAAATTTAATGTGTTCTTCTGGACTTTTCTTATTGCGAAACATTTGTAAACTGAAACGTGGTTTACCATAGAGATGCATTAAAAACCATTTAATCAGTTCCGGAGGCCAGAAAAAAGTAAAAATGAGCGGTCATGGAAACCAACCCACAATGCAGAACACACAGTAAAAGGCATGCAAATGACGAAACTCAGCTCCCTACCTTTCTACCGCTTGAGAAATGAAACAAAAAAGTTCCAAAAAGTCCTAAAACCACTGCAAACAATTTCCAGAATGGCTCCAAAACTTGATGCAGAAACCGCTCCACCACCTCCACACTCGACGCCATGTGCTAACCACAGACTCCAGCATGCATGGAGGCGGCGCTATAAACCTCCCAGGCGCAATGCATCCTGGGGAAACTTGCTTTGCATTGCAAAACAAATGTGTAAACCGAGGCATTATTTTCAATGGGTTTTCATTTGTAAACCGAAACTGATGTTAACCGAGGCGTTTGTAAACCGAGGCACCACTGGATGTGCATTTTAATACAGTAAATGCTAACAGTATTATGACATTTACAGCTAAAATGTCAGAGGGTACTACATTTAAAAAAAATCAATAAAAAAAAAAAATCTTAATTTCTCACAGTTTTTAATTTTATTCATAATAATTTATGTTTCATATATGAATAGTTCATGAGTAATTAGTGCCCTGTTTCTCTTGAACAAAATTATTATAATAAGTGTGGGTGCACTTAATATGAAAGAGGTGAATTACGGTTGAAGAGACATAGCGCAAATGCCAGTTTTTGTTTACATTTTGTTTTGATCAGAACGTGTACTCTTGACTCTGTCCTGAATGAGTTAAATAGCCGAATGCCACGTGCAAGAGAAAATCGCTGCCATCTTGTTCGCATGAAAGGAGGCCGCGGGACCTGATCGTCGACTGTCTAGAACTAAAATCTGACACTTGACTTCCCGAACACTAGTCAAAGTATACGAACGCCTGCTTCCTTTTCCCAAACAGCCAGGAGAGTGATGTTCAGTAGTTTGATTCCCATGAACCAGGGGAACAATCGCTACTATGAGACAGGGGGTTCTATTAATGCATTATTTCGTTTTTGTGACTTTTCGAAATAGACCAACCACACAGCCTAAACTCATGGAACTGTTGCTGGCCAGGAGCCTTGTGTGCGGTCGGTCCAAATTGGACTTCCATAAAATTCCAAAACCCCTGAACTGATCTGGGTGATTTTTGGATATGTTGGTCACCCAGATCAGGGCTATCAGGGGATATAACATTTATGGGGAGGTTGTGTGTTTTGGGGTACTTTTCAAGTTTTATGAAAAATTTGTTTTTTCTGCCTGGAGATAATGGAGTTATTACTTTATCTGACCCAATTATCTCACAGGCAGAGATGAGGGAATTATCGGTTTGTATTGGGAGTGTCACACTTTGCCACTGTATTATTATTGGTTGTAAACTTTGTGTCCCTATACCCCACAAGGTCCATGTGGGAGTGCCCCTTCCATGGGGACTTTTATAATAGCCAATGTGGCACCCATTAAAATCATTCCTGTTGTACCCTTCATGAAGTCTAGGCTAATGTTTGGCTAACAGTCTACTTGCTGGGGAGAAAACTATGTGGATGCTGCATTCGTCTGGAACCGTTTGAATCTACACCCGAACTGCAAGCTGTAATCACTCAGGCTCAGCAGTTCGGGAGGAAATAGGCGAACAGGATATCTACTATATCAGCGTTCGTAACACTTTACTTTTTTTTTTTTTTTTTTAAACACTAACTTTGAAAAGTATTGTTAAGATTTTATACTTGCATTACTTAATTGCACGCATGTGACAATGTTTGAGAGAAACTTCCTTGGAATTGTTCAAACAAAGTATTTACACAGAAGCTAGGGTAGATATTACGCTTGCATCATAAATATGTATATTTACTGGGCTGAACACATTACTGCTGATCTTTTGCCAGATTACTATTTAAGCAATTAGGAAGCAATAAATCCCATGAGATTTTAAATATGTAATAAATAAAGCAAGGTGCCAAAAATAACAAAATTTCTTCATGGAGAATAAGTTCAGCAATGTGAATCTTGAATCTAGAAAAGCAACAGGGTTTTAGTCTAGAGTTCAACACCCACAAATATGCATTTTAATTATGGTCTCAAGTCAGCCAACGTGCATGCCCTGTAAATTAGGCTGCTTTAAACTCAAACCAAATATAACAATAACCAGGAAAGGTTGTTTGCCATTTCAAATTTAGGAGCTATCCTCTTTTGCTAGCAAATTCCTTGACTAGTACACACACTTCATATTGTAAAGCCGACAAATTAAGATATAGACTGTAAGCTCGTTTAATAGAAAACAAAGATACTGACATGACTTAACTTTTGACCTACCATTTTAAATTCACAAACTAAGAGTTCTCTACACTTCACACTGGTGACTAACTGAAATAGTTTCCATTTCCATCAACTTTTAACAATGCACAGCATGTCAAACAACTTTGCAAGTGCAGCAAAATGTGCATGAGTTTCCAAGCCTCAATTTAGACAAATCCAGCAAATTTTTAATGCAATAACTAAACTAGATAATATCCAAGGATCCACAAATTAGATTTCTTTAGAAAATACATCTAAAATGTATAAAGAATGGGAAAAAAGCCCACCTACATGTAAATGTTAGACATATTCTAAAAATGGGTAAATGCAAAAAAAAAAAACAAACCCTCAAAACCCTAGTTTTAAAAAAAGTAGAGTTTACATTATGCCTAAATAAGCTGGATGAAATACAAGCATGGTATATGATAAACACCCCCAAAAAAAAAAACACGTTTACTTCACATGTTAATTAACTTCATGACCACAGAACACACAACAGGTTGCAAGTCTGTGATTTAGGCCTATTTAGAAAAAACAATGCTACAGGTATATTTAAAAGTATAGTTTTCCTTTTTCTCGTCCACCAATGAAAACGTAATAACCCATAAAACAGAATAAAGTTGGTATTGATTTTTTTTTTTGATTTTTTTTTTTAAAGCAGCTTTTGCACATATGTTCTTTCAACATGCAATCTGAAAAGTATGGGAATAGGAGAACCCGAATAATACAATAAACCGAGATGGCCACGTAATATGTACAGATAATATAAGTAGTGTGAGTTATTACACGGTGCAGTCTAGTTATAGATTACCAGTACAGATAATATAACTAGAGTTATCACACGGTGGGTCAGTCAGGCTCGGATATATAGAATATAATATAATGTTATACAGGTAATAACTCTCACTACTTATATTGTCTGTACATATTGCGAGGCCATCTCGGTGTGTTGTATTATTCGGGTTCTCCTATTCCCATACTTTCCATACAGTATATATATTATATATATTTAGTTATCACACGGTGGGCCAGGCTCGCTCTCACGCTGCGGCCCCGCACACAGAGCTGGCGAGCAGCACACACGGAGCGGGCTGTGTGGTCCCATGTCGGTGTGACGGGCTGCCGCCATGCTCACACTCCGGGCTAGGCCGCAGCCCGCATTACACGGCGCCCAGTCACAGCTCGCACGGCGGGAGCCCCGGCCGCACCGTTAGCCAAACATCCCTCACACCGGGAATACAGGCGCTCTCTCTCCCCGCTCCTCCACCCACGTTTGTCCCACAAGGATCCCCCTACTCACGCGGAAAAAGCCCGCGTCCATCTTGCCTGCCTCGCTCTCTCCTCACGCAGCTCTACTCTCCGCTTCCCACAAGGCAGCGCGCCAGAGGGCAGAACCCACGCAGAGTCACGTGACGACCCGAGACGCTGGGAAGGCGGGACGTGACGTCATCCGCCAGGTTCATGTGCAGCGGCCAATAGAGAATAATAGCGCGTGCAGTGCATGATGAAGGATGTCACGGGGAGTGCAGGCTCGTGGCCTCCCAGGGGTTAGCGTACACTGTCTGTGCCCCTACTGGGGAGGGAGGGGTTCACATAGTTGGTGTGTATTAAGAATGTGAAAGAGGGAGAATTGTGAAGAGTTATGAAGTAATGTGGAAATTGGTACTGAGAGAGAAACCTAATGCTATAGAACAGGGCTTCCCAAACTTTTATGGGCAGAGACCCACTTTTAAAAATGGTTATTTTTCGAGACCCACCTGCTTTTAATGCATAGTTTAAAATGTGAACACCATGGCAATAAGCTTTACAGGCATACAACTGGCACGGCGGGGAAATCCGCTTTACAGGCATACAATTGGCACACCATGGCAATCAGCTTTAGATGCATAAAATTGGCATAACATGGCAGTTCTAGAGGCAGAAACTTTGCACATCATGGCAATCAGTTTTAGAGACATACAACTGCTCACAGAATCAGAAGTGCTGTTGTCCTGCTCTTTCATCCAGGCACCTCATGTTGATAATGTAAAGAGGACCCTGGTGCAAGTATGTTTTCTGGGCCCGCCTCTAGTGAAAGTGTGGCCAAAAGGTAGATCTCCATCTGTCAGAGAACTTCAACAATGCTATGCCAGATGGAGATCTGCCATTTGCGCATCATTGCAGGGTTATATTTGTGAGCAGTGTTTGAATGTAAGCATGTTTTTGTATTAAGTATATGTGTGCATGTATGGGTGTATTTGTATGTACTGTTGGTATTGGAATGTAGTGGTGTACTTGTTTGTTATGTTTGCGTCTGAATGCAGGGGTGTTTGTATATGTAGTGTAGGACTTTACATGCAGGTGTGTTTTTTTGTGTGTAGTGTTGGTGTTTGAATGAAGGGGTGTTTGTAGATCTTTTGAGTGTTTTAATGGAGGGGTGTGTTTGTATGTAATATTTGCGTTTGATTGCAGTGTGTGTGTGTGACTGTGTGTGTAGTGAATGCAGTGTGTGTATATTGTGTTTATAAAATATACATGTACACAATGTGTGTTTGAATGTAATCATGTTTTTTGTATGGCGTATGTGTGCAGTGTATATACACACAAATACACACATTGACACCTAGTTTCCCCCACACAGATACAGACACTCATGTACACAGATACACACAAATACACACACACACTGACACAAAAGGGCACGCAGAGACGGGAGTGTGTGTACTGGTAACAGTGTGGGGGGCAGGGGGAGAAAGGGTTACCGTGGGCGGGCAGGGGGAGAAAGGGTTACAGTGGGCAGGCAGGAGGAGAAAGGATTTTTAGTGTGGGGGGCAGGGGGAGAAAAGGCGACAGTGGTGGGGCAGGGGGAGAAAAGGTTACAGTGCAGGGAGGGGGGCAGGGAGAGAAGGAGTTACAGTAGGGGGTAGGCAGAGAAGGAGTTACAGGAGGGCAGGGAGTGAAGGGGTTACAGGGGATTAAGGGGGGCAGGGAGTGAAGGGGTTACGGGGGGGAGGGGGCAGGGCCAGAAGGGATTACAGTGTGGGCAGGGAGCGAAGAGGTTACATGGGGGTGTTGGAGGCGGGGCTGGGTCCTATCTTTTAATAAATTCAGTGGTGGTCCAGTGTCTCCCTGGTGGTCCGGTGGGTTAATGTTCTGGTCTGCAGCTCCGCCAGGTGCAGAGCTGCAGACAGTGTAATAAAAGTCTTGCGAGCTCTCAGAGTGTTGCCATGGTAACGCTCTGGGTACTCGCGAGACTTCTATCACACAGTCTGCAGCTCTGCACCCGGCGGAGCTGCAGACCGGAGCTGCTGGGCAGACTGATTGGAGGGAGCCCGGCGGCATACAGGGCAAGCCGCCGGGCTCCCTCCTGGTGTCGGGCCCGCGGTCACTGACCGAGAGCCCAACTAATCAGTCTGCCTGACTAGCCGGCGGCCCTGGATGTGTGGGTCAGCGCGACCCACTGGGAATCGCCCTGCGTCCCACCAGTGGGTCGCGACCCACACTTTGGGAACCGCTGCTATAGAATCCTCCTAATACTGTAATCATTCTGATCAGTACACTAGGACTGCATTTTTTTGGGGGGCTTAACATGTTTGGCTTTTTTGTTAAAATGTGACCCTTTATATCAATTTTAACCATTTAAAAAAAATTCTTTATTTTTGTAGTGCAAGTAACACAGAATCAAGACATTTGAGCAGATTGCATTGTGTGTCTGCAAGAGGTCACTGTAAATGTTAGAGGAACTGCACATTTTTTAAGTTAAAGGACCACTCTAGGCACCCAGACCACTTCAGCTTAATTAAGTGGTCTGGGTGCCAGGTCCAGCTAGGGTTAACCCATTTTTTAATAAACATAGCAGTTTCAGAGAAACTGCTATGTTTATCAATGGGTTAAGCCTTCCCCCTAATCCTCTAGTGGCTGTCTCATTGACAGCCACTAGAGGCGCTTGCGTGATTCTCACTGTGATTTTCACAGTGAGAGCACGCCAGCGTCCATAGGAAAGCATTATGAATGCTTTCCTATGTGGCCAGCTGAATGCGCGCGCAGCTCTTGCCACGCGTGTGCATTCAGCCGACGGGGCGGATCGGAGGAGGAGAGAAGGAGGAGAGCTCTCCGCCCAGCGCTGGAAAAAGGTAAGTTTAAACCCCTTTCCCCCTTCCAGAGCCGGGCGGGAGGGGGACTCTGAGGGTGGGGGCACCCTCAGGGCACTATAGTGCCAGGAAAACGAGTATGTTTTCCTGGCACTATAGTGGTCCTTTTCCAGGAGTTTCTGTTTCCTGTACCCGGTCGGACTGACAGGAAGGTGCACACTGAGCGTGCACCTTCCTATCACTCCGGCCGGCCACCGCGGACAGCAGAGCAGCTCGGCCACGCTACAGGGGAGGGGGGTAAGAAGGGGGTAAAGCGGGAAGGGGGGGTAAGAGGGGGGAGAAAGAAAGGGGTAAGGGGAGGGGGGGGTAAGAAAGGTAAGAGGGGGGGGGTAAGAAAGGGGTAAGAGGGGGAGGGGGAAGTAAGAAGAGGGGGAGGGGGAGTAAGAAAGGGGGGTAAGAAGTTCTTCATTTGAAATTTAAAGGACCACTCTAGGCACCCAGATCACTTCAGCTTTATGAAGTGGTCTGGGTGCCAGGTCCCTCTATGATTAACCCTTTTTTTTTATAAACATAGCAGTTTCAGAGAAACTGCTATGTTTATACTGAGGGTTAATCCAGCCTCCAGAGCCTCTAGTGGCTGTCTCATTGACAGCCGCTAGAGGCGCTTGCGTGCTTCTCACTGTGAAAATCACAGTGAGAGCACGCAAGCGTCCATAGGAAAGCATTGTAAATGCTTTCCTATGCGACTGGCTGAATGCGCATTCAGCCGATGACGTCGCGAGCAAGGAGGAGTACAGCTCCCCGCCCGGCGCCGGAGAAAGGTAAGTGTTTAACCCCTTCCTCTCTCCAGAGCCCGGCGGGAGGGGGTCCCTGAGGGTGAGGGCACTATAGTGCCAGGAAAACGAGTATGTTTTCCTGGCACTATAGTGGTCCTTTAAGTTTTTTTCCCCTGAAATTTCCTTCTTAAAATGAGGTGCGTGTTATACGCCGATAAATACGGTATATATTGTGCCTTAGCATGCCCCCATTTTTTCACCAAAATATGCCAAAGTATGTAGTAAAAAATAATTTGGGGCATTTTTTACATAAGGATTGCATTTTTGCTGGGCATTTTGTATATTTCATATGTGCCACTAAGTTCAAACCCCCCAAATTATGCTCAGCTAAGTCTTCTGAGTAAAAAGACACCCCCAATGAATGTCTTTGGCACTATTTCGTGAAGCTACAGTGCCATATAGGAGACCAAGCCATATCGGTTTTTACTGAACTTTGAATTTTGACGTTGGGCCTATGTGCAATTTCCAAGCATCTTAGCAGGTTTTAAATTCATACTACCCCACAAAGGCCTACCATTTCTTAAAGTAGACACCCCAGGGTATTTCAAAAGGTATATTTTGAACCTTAGCGTGGGATCATTTTTCCGCTAGCTTGTACTAGGTGTAGTGGTAAGCGGTTTTTTTTCTGCCTTTTTGACACACAAAGTGAGTTTGCAAACCTTATGTGTGCTACCACTGTATAATACTTCAAATGTTGCTAAGCTATGTCAGCTGAGTACAGCAATAGCCCCGTATGTACCTTTGCCAGGTATATGTGGACATCGGAGGGCACATTTTGGACACAGCCATTCCAGTTTTTTTTCAAACTTTAAATTTTTACGCTGTGCCCATGTCCCATTTTAGAGTATTTTACCAGGCTATATAATCCAGATACCCCATAAAGCCATACCATTTCTTAAAGAAGACATCCCAGGGTATTTCAAAAGGCATATTTTGAACCTTAGCGTTTGATCATTTTTCCGCTAGCTTGTACCAAGTGTACCATGAGTTGCCATAAATTGGGGCATTTCAGGGGCGGTTAAGTTGAAGGGGTCGCAATTTCCATCAGACACTGACTTGGTGGTAGGCTGAGGGCACCTTTACCAGAAGTCTCAGTTTGGGGTTTTAGAACTGAGGATGTAAGTAAAAGTGCCAATTTCCATTAGAAGAAATTTTACACTCTCTGACTCATGCCATTTGCACACAATAGCAACGTGCCATGGTGAAAAAAAACTATGACCTGGCTACCTAATACCAACTCTGTCAACAAATGTCAATTTGCCACTTTTGCCCAAAGTGCCTCTCCCAAAAATAGAAAAACTGACTGACTGCAGTCTTAAAATCTGTGATCAGCACTGCAAGTGTTATTTTATTTTTATTCAAAGAAGTACAGTTAACCCCTTAATGACGAGTGACGGACGAGGTCTGTCACAGAGGGGAAACCCTTAACGACGAGTGACAGACATTGTCCGTCACGCGGTAAAATTAACCCCAGATCGCCGCGATCGCCGGGTTAATGGTGCTCCAGTCTG